AAGCTTTCCTGGGTAAGAACCTCACCTGACTTGCATCTGAAGAAGTGAGGTTCTTACCCACGAAAGCTTATGCTCCCAATACTTCTGTTAGTCTCAAAGGTGCCACAGGACCCTCTGTTGCTTTTTATCATTTTTGAGGTTCAGCAAAAGGTAAAATAAAAAATCCAAGACCTGTTTCTTTAAGCAAAGACAGTTAATTGTAGTTAGGCCCTGACAGTCTACTTCTTACTGAGCACTTGGCAATTTGTAGTTGACAGCTAGTAAACACTAGTTGAAACACCATATATAGGATGCTGGTATGAGTTCAAGGTTATAAAGCATCTTGCAGAATTGGTTTTTAAAAAGTTTCCCTGCAGAAACATGTCTGTGACGGTAGACTTTGGGGGCAGAGGGAAATTTTCTGATACACAAAAAGCAACAGATTGTTCTTAGGAGTAAGGAGTTGATTAGCAGCAAAATAGCAGCTATGCTAATAGACTGGCCCCATTTTCTACTCTATAGGGCAGCTGAAAGCTAGCACAGGAGAAGCAAAGAATCATATAACCCCTTTCTCTTATCTTAAAGCTTCAGGATCACTGTTTGTGTGTTAATTAGTTATTTTGTGATGAATGAGCTGAACAGGTGGTGCAGGGGTTCTAGAGGGCCCCTAGGTTGAAGCCAATGCATATTTTTAGACAGTGGCGAGCTATCAGTTTCCAAAACAAAATATCAGATCACCATTCCTTCTGGTGTCTATAAAGAGTAACAGCTGCACCAGGGGTTTACTCTTGGCCAGTTCATAGACTTAAATTAAATCAGATCATATCAATGTCTGCTGAGGCCCACAAGTTGTGATCATATTTATAGTCATTTAATGCAATTGGTAGAGTTTCAATTAAATCAGTGACAAAGAGAACTGAAGGGATTGAAATAGGAAAAAAAGCTTAGCTATGCCCTTTGGTTCCCTCTCTTCTTTTATATATGCACTATTCTTGCTGCCAAGTTAAAGAAGTATGGTCTGGATGAATGGACCGTAAGGTGGATAGAAAGCTGGCTAGATCGTCGGGCTCAATGGGTAGTGATCAATGGCTCCATGTCTAGTTGGCAGCCGGTTTCGAGCGGAGTGCTCCAAGGGTCGGTCCTGAGGCCGGTTCTGTTTAATATCTTTATTAATGATCTGGAGGATGGTCTGGACTGCACTCTCAGCAAGTTTGCAGATGACACTAAACTGGGAGGCGTGGTAGATACACTGGAGGGTAGGGATTGGATACAGAGGGACCTAGACAAATTAGAGGATTGGGCCAAAAAAAACCTGATGAGGTTCAACAAGGACAAGTGCAGAGTCCTGCACTTAGGACGGAAGAATCCCATACACTGCTACAGACTAGGGATCGAATGGCTAGGTAGCAGTTCTGCAGAAAAGAACCCAGCTCCCTGCCTCAGGATCAAGTCCAATTCCATGTGTAAGAAAATTTGGATAGAAAAAGAATTAACAAAAATTAAATATATAATTCAGGATGATACACATGTAATTGAAAGAGGTCAGTGTAACAAATAACTACTGCTGTCTCACAGTTCCTTCTTTCAGCAGCTATGCTCAAGGATTCATGCAAGGATAGGGGACAACTGGTCTGTTTCATCTCTCTCACCTCTGGAAGAGCATGTTAATATGGAAACAAAAGTCACTTTATAGGAATTATTTATAGGTGGCTTAATGCTTTGCATTACCCTCTCAATTTCAAAGAACACTGGGGGTGGGGGGTAGTAAGGAGGGAAAAAAGCAACAACCACCAATTTAGCCTTATTCTCACAACAGAAACCTGGGAGAATATCCTGGCTTAATGTGAAAGATACTTTGAGTTCTTTATCCTTGCGATTCTTCCAGAACAAGATAATAAGCAGGTACTACTGGCCTCCAGAATATTTGTTTAAGGTTAGATTGTTGCAATCAACTGTTGTCAAGGAGATGCAAACAGCTATATACCAACCTTTTACACATCTCTATACCTGTTAAAAAATGCACGCGTTCTGGAACACCATATACAGTGCTCTCTCAAAAAGAGAGTGTTGCTATTGTACCTTCTCCAAGCTTGTGTATTTTAGGAGTGCTAGATGAGTTGTTATTACCAGTTATCATTAAGAAATAGATTGCAGTAACTATTTTAGTAGCCAAAAAAATTATTTGGAGAAAACAGTAATCTGCAATTCTGCCCTCAGACACAGACTGGCTTAGTGAGCTTTCTACTTCTGCATTAATGGGGGAGGAGGAAGACTGTCTTATAAAAATGCTTAGAAAAAAATACGAGGCTGTCTGGTTACACATGAAACTACTGGATACTTTTGCAGTTTAATATATGTTTGTCCCCAGTACTTATAGGTTATTTATCTATTGAGTCACCTCAATAATTGTTGCCCTGCATAAACTCTGCAGGTTTAGAGTTTATTTGTAAGACGTGGACAAAACAATGAATATTGAATTGTTATTAAGGCTGTTGATTAATCACAGTTAACTCATACAATTAACTCAAAATTAATCGCGATTAATCGCAGTTTTAATCACACTGTTAAACAAAAGAACAAAAATTGAAATGTAACTATTTTTGGATGTTTTTCTACATTTTCAAATATATTGATATAAATTACAACACAGAATACAAAGTGGACAGTGCTCACTTTATATTTTTATTAAAAATATTTGCACTGTAAAAACGATCAAGAAAGTGTGTTTTTCAATTCACCTCATACAAGTACCATAATGAAATCTCTTTATCGGGAAAGTGCAACTTACAAATGTAGATTGTTTTCCTTACATAACTGCACTCAAAAGCAAAACAATGTAGAACTTTAGAGCCTGCAAGTCCACTCAGTCCTACTTCTTATTCAGCCAATTGCTAAGACAAACAATTACATTTACTGGAGATAATGCTGCTAGCTTCTTATTTACAATGTCACCTGAAAGTGAGAACAGGCATTCACATGGCACGTTGTAGTCGTCATTGCAAGGTATTTACATGCCAGATATGTTAAAGTCAGTCTACACTGATTTGGATCATTATCGAGCAGAACCTGTCATCAGTATGGACGCATGTCCTCTGGAATGGTGGTTGAAGATAAAGGGACATATGAATCTTTAGCGAATCTGGTACGTAAATATCTTGCAATGCCGGCTACAACAGTGCCATGAGAACGCCTGTTCTCACTTTCAGGTGACATTGTAAACAAGAAGCAGGCAGCATTATCTCCTGCAAATGTAAACAAACTTGTTTGTCTGAGTGACTGGATGAACAAGAAGTAGGACTGAGTGGACTTGTAGGCTCTAAAGTTGTACATTGTTTTGTTTTTGAGTGCAGTTCTTTTTTGTACATGATTCTACATTTGTAAGTTCAACTTTCATGATAAAGAGATTGCATTACAGTACTTGTATGAGGTAAACTGAAAAATACTCGTTCTTTTTTTTTTACAGCACAAATATCTGTAATCAAAAATATAAAGTGAGCACCGTACACTTGGTATTCTGGGTTGTAACTGAAATAAGTATATTTGTAAACGTAGAAAACATCCAAAACATTTAAATAAATGGTATTCTATTATTGTTTAACAGTGCGATTAATCGCACAATTAATCTTTTTAATCACATGATTAATCATGATTAATTTTTTAATCACGTGACAGCCCTAATGGTTATTTATATGGTATTTCCATCTTGTGAATGTATTTATAGAACTTTGTTTTTATATATATTCACATAATGAAACAAAAATAAAGTTTAAAAGAATTGAAGAGAATTCCACTGTCCCTATCACATTGAAAATGTTACGAAGTTTCAAGATATATAGGGTAGAACTATCAAAACAGACCAGCTTCTGGCCCTACATGGCTGTATAGTTATGAAATAAATATGGGCAAAGAAGAAATGGGAAGTTTCCCTTATTGAGAGTTTAGTGTTAGTGTCCTGAGCAATAGGACATTGATTAATTCAGGGAGAACAAGAGCTCTCTATGGGCTCATCTACACAATCCCGACCCCTCAGATCTCACACAGGTTGCAGAAACCCATAGACTTGTTTGCATTTCTTATTCCAGTCTCTTTACCTTCACTGGAATTTTGTCTAGTTGAACTGTAACACCTTGTGAAAGGGACCTGCAAATCGAACAGTCTCTAAAGCACAGAGAGCACATTAATATAATATAAACAGATGAAAATGAATTTAATATGTTTCTTTGTAATACCTGCAAGACATCTGGAAGAATATTTTATAATAAATAAATATAAATCTTAACAAGGCTGCTATCTCTTCTCCTAGCCTGGAGCAAGGAAAATAGATACCAGAGGTCTTGTCCTGCTTAAAATCAGGTCTGTCCAAATTTAAGACCACCTCCTTGAAAATCATGTTGTGTCTCATTGTCATGGTTAAGGCTAGCAAGTGATTGGGCTTTTGCAGTGATGAGTCCTAGGACATGAACGTGACTATTCCTTGCAATCCCCTAAGCAACACCTTAATCATTTTTTATTTTAATAGATGATTTAATCTGAGCTTGTTGACCCTGTGTCCCCGCTTTTTCCTGTACTAGATGGCCTCTCTTTGTTTTGTCCTGTATAAGTTCTAAGAGCTCTTGATCAGAATGGTTTTACTGTGTGTTTTTTCCCAGCAACCCAGCCACCTTAGCTGGAGGCCGCTTTAGAAATAAGCTAATAAAGTTCTAGATGGGTTTTTGTTAGTGTCCTTGATACTTATACTTAGTACTTAAGAATTAACACTAACTAGACTACAGATTGAGCCATTCTGCCCTACATGTTCTGTGGGGGAATCTGTAGCAGGACATAGAGCTCTTCACCTGTTTGTTGTCAGTTCTTCACGCCAGCCTAGAGTGGACTGGAAGTGGGAATTTTCTGTAACTTTTTATGAATCCTAGGCATGCCTCAGTTTCCCCCGAATGTTGCATTGCTGGAGTTAACATGTCTCCTGCACTGTTTCAGGAGCAAGGAGGTGTGTGTCTCACCTCCCTGTCTGGGTGGAATAAATGGAGTCATTGAAGAACTGGTTTAACCTCACTCAAATCAGAGAGTCCAGCAAGACAAAAAGATGCCCCAATGAAACAGCAGGACACCCCAGCAGCTGGAGGTCAGAGTTGTGAACTGAGCTGGAGAACAAGGTGTCAGGTGACTAGAAGAAGGGCTGCTTTTTGGAGGGCCTGAGGAGCCCAGACCTGGGGAGAGCCACAGCTGGAGTCCATTACAGCTTGGCTGGCTCATCATGGCACTGGTTTGGCTAGGATGGACTACGCAGGGGTCGGCACATGAGCTGATTTACTGTGGCACGCTGCTGCTGGCCTGGGGTCCTGGCCGCCGGCCCCGCTCAGCCTGCTGCTGCTGGCCTGGGGTCCCGGCCGCCGGCCCCGCTCAGCCTGCTGCTGGCCTGAGCGGGGCCGGTGGCTGGAACCCCAGACCAGCAGCAGGCTGAGCCGCTCAGCCGGTCCGCTCAGCCCGCTGCCAGTCTGGAGTTCCATCCGCTGGCCCCTGTGAATGTAAAATGTATTACTGTCACGCAAAACCTTAAATTACCGCAAATAAATGAAGACTTGGCACACCACTTCTGAAAGGTTGCCGACCCCCTGGACTACAGTGTAACTTCTGTAAAAAGCAACAGAGAGTCCTGTGGCACCTTTAAGACTAACAGATGTATTGGAGCATAAGCTTTCGTGGGTGAATACCCACTTCGTCAGACGCATGTTCTGTGTAACTTCTGTGTCTCTGTGCTAACATAAGGACCATAAGATTGTGTAGCCAGGTGATTAATAAATGGCTGCCTCGTTTTTTTAAAGGCTGCCTGTGTCGCTGTAAATACTCAATGAGATAAATGCACCCTGAAGGGGCTCAGTATAAGCCTCTCACAGGACTCTGGCTTGACTGGATTTATTGCAGGGAGCCATGGAGAAAGACAGCAATTGCTGGTGCTGAAGGTCCAGTCTTGGAGGCCCTGGGCCTGCCCCTCTGGAATTACAGGAGCCTGGGACACTAAAGGGTCACTTCCAGGAGACTGGTTACCATAGTTTGACATGAGACTACGGTGACCAGGATCCGGTTTTCGACCGGAACACCTGGTCAAAAAGGGACCCTGGTGGCTCCAGTTTAGCACCGCTGACCGGGCGTTAAAAGTCTGGTTGGTGGTGCTGCAGAGCTAAGACAGGCTAGTCCCTACCTGTCCTGGCTCCGCGATGCGCTCCAGAAGCAGCCAACACATCCAGCTCATAGGAGGGGGAGGCCCGGGGGCTCCGCGTGCTGCCCCCGCCCCGAGTATACCCTGTGACTGGGGCCTAGAGCAGACCCTGTGACTCCATGAGATTTGGTTGTGACCAAAAATTGTTTACTGTCTCTTGGCTGTTCAGTGGTCCCTGAATTAAACGAGTTGGTGGGTCTGAGTTCTGTGCCCAGAGAACAGGTGTCCAAAGCACAGAAACCATGTTCACAATGGGCACCTTTCTTCCAAAGTCTACTGGGCAATGCTCAATATTCATAGAGGCTGAACTATTCCCCTTTTTGCCAGTCTCCGAGAGGCCAATGAGCAAATGAGCCAGAGACTGAACTCCCTTCATCTCTACAGGAGTAGTGGCCCCCCTGAGTCCGAGTTGAGGTACCCTATCAGGGCAGCTTTCACTGTTGCTTGGGACTTCTGTCAGTCTGGCACTTTCACCAGAGTTTAAGTCATGTAAACAATAAGATCCCCTGTCTCACCAGGGGTCTCATGTAGGGTTGCCAACTTTCTAATCCCACAAAACTGAACACCCTAGCTCCGCCCCTTCCCCGAGGCCCTGCCCCTCGCTCACTACATTCCCCCTCTCTTGGTGGCTCGCTCTCCCCCCACCCTAACTTTCACTGGGCTGGGGCAGGGGGTTGGGGTGAAGGAGGGGGTGAGGGTTCTAACTTGGGGTGCAAGCTCTGGGGTGGGGCCAGAAATGAGAGGTTCAGGTTGTGGGAAGGGGCTCTGGGTGGGTCCAGGGATGAGGCATTTGGAGTGCAGGAGGGGGCTCTGATTTGGGGGGGCTCAGGGCTGGGGCATGGGCTTACCTCTGGCAGCTCCCAGGCAGCGGTGAAGCAGGGTGGCTAAGGCAGGCTTCCTGCCTGTCCTGGCACTGCAGACTGCGCTGCACCCCGGAAGTGGCCAGCAGCAGGTCTGGCTCCTAGGTGGAGGCTCTCGCCCGCAGGCAACACACCCACCGCTCCCATTGGCTGCGGTTCCTGGCCAATGGGAGTGCGGAGCTGGTGCTGGAGTGGGGGCAATGCACAGAGCTCCCTGCCTCCCCCTCCTATGAGCCGGATGTGTTGGCTGCTTCTGGGGCGCAGCGCGGAGCCAGGACAGGTAGGGACTAGCCTGCCTTAGCTCTGCAGCACCACCAACCAGACTTTTAACGCCCGGTCAGCGGTGCTGACTGGAGCCACCAGGGTCCCTTTTCGACCAGGTGTTGCGGTTGAAAACCGGATCCTGGTCACCGTAGTCTCATGTCAAACTATAAACAAGGTTTTTCTTCTATTAGTTAGATAAAGTGCATCTCTAAGTATGCCTCAGAACCAAGTTAGTGACTTATCTTTCAGGGTAAATCAAGCCTCTGGTTCCATGGTGATGGGAAATATGGGGGCAAAAGAAGGCTGGCTTGGCACTGCATTCTCCACACTCTACTTGCAGCATCTTAAACAGGACACAATACTGTAAAATCCCATAGAATCCTAGAGGAAGCCCCTCTGCAATTGGATTTAGTGTGAAAAGATGACTGCTTGTAGCAGGAAAGTCCAATGGCTAACTAGCTTAATGATCAGGTTAATAGACTTATGGTTTCTGCCAGCCTAGTTGTCCCAGCAGGGGCCCCAGCTGCACCTCAATCACCCCTACATGATCCAATTGCTCCCCCAGAGGTTCTGACACCACAGAGGAGCAAGGGGAGGGACAAGGTAGAGACCGAAGCCCATCCGCTCCACCAGGTCCCAACCCAGGACCCTAGGGGTTTATCAAAGCATCCAGCCTAGTTATTGAGCTAATCCCAAATTGTTTTCCTCCAGTTACTGCCTACCAGTCTGGAACTTCTTCAGTTTGGGGCATGATCATTGGCTTAGAAGACTCTCCTCGGTGTCTTAGTGGCCTGTTCAATCAATCTGATTTAGGGTCTTCCACGCCCACAGGAGAATGGGGGCAGCAGCAGGAATCCAAGCCCCTGCTGGTAGGGCAGCCAGCCTTCACAAAAATTGTTGCTACTCCTGACATAACTCAACATCAGCTTTATGTCCTCATTCAACTCCTTCCCCCCACCCTTTTCCCGAGGGACCAGTGGCCTTTTAAACTGTTCCTCCAGTGGGACATGCTCTTCCTCTTGAGGGGCAGGGGCTTCCTAGCCCACTACTGCTCTACTCCCAGCCATGGTTCTAAATGGAGCCTTTAGGCCTCATCACACTGCTCAGAATAGTTTCCATCCTCCACAAACTGTAATAAAACTTGGCTCACTTCCTGTGGCACATGCTTATATCTCAGCCTGTTGTGTGGGGATTTACTTTTATTGTCAATGGAACTCTACCTAGCATTTTTGTGCAACCCAAATTCCTAGAAAACTACCTAGATCTATGCACTGAAATTTGTTGGGTTACAACTGGAATCTCAGCTGCCGCTATTGAGGATTATCAGAAGTTAGAGGGAAGAGCAGTTAGCCCTTCCACTTTGTAATTTTATTTCACATATACTTGTTTAATTATTCTCTGCCTAGCTGATTAGTTATGTTGTTTGGGATAGTCCAATTGCTTCATGATTGTATGCCTACTGGGGGAATCTCTGTCAATAAAATTAGTTTATCTTTACATGAATACTGTTCTCTGCCCTTTTTCTGATGGAGAGTATGCAGGTCAAGTCTCCTGGCAAGACAAAGCCTTGGGGTTGTGATGTGCGTGTAGATTATATTTTCTCAATTGGAATCTTGTTTCACAGGAGCTGTTGAGATGTCCCATCAGAGCCCTGTTGCCTCATGGCTTTGTGCTATGCTTCATTGCTTTGGAAGTTATATTCTTGCTGATATGTTACTTGGGGAAGCTCCTATTGATTATTTCAGCAATAACTCTAGTGTGCTCCTGGCCACGGCAGTATGGTGAGTCTTTCACACTTTGGTACAGCTCGGGGGGGGGGGGGGAGGAGGGAGTACTCACATTGTCCAATTTGGGTGAATTAGGAAAAGGAGGGGATTAGATAGGGAGGAGTATGGAATAGTCTTTTGAATTTCTGGACTTAGTTTTCAATTAATCTGATGACCTAATATTTTGATAAGATGAGCTAAAGTTAACCTACATTTGGGTTATTTCTGTTCACAGATGCCTCAGTTAAACTGTAGCACAGCCTACAAAACCAGCACGCACTGCACTGGCCCTGAAACACGAGGCTGTGTTTGGGGTGAACGTGGAGTGAGTGCAAGCACTTCAGTGGAATTGTGTACCCGTTTTTGTTGATCATGATGGTAAAATGTCTGCAGAATTCAACAGACACTGAAAAGTTTAGTTTCCTAATACCAAAGGGGATTTTGTATTCTGTGCAGGCTGCACCCAGCACTGCCTTCTCCATGACTCAGTAACTCAGAATGACAGCACAGACGCTATTCTCTCACCATCTCCTACACAGTCCAATTGGGACAGATGGGTCACTGCTTGAACTCTTTGTGGTTTTGTTCCAGGTATTTGATTTTCTTCTGCCCCATGAACCTCTTCTACAAGTGTGTCAGCTTCTTGCCTGTGAAGCTCATCTTTGTGGCAATGAAGGAGGTGGTTAGAGTTCGTAAAATTGCTATTGGAGTCCACCATGCTCACCACCATTACCACCATGGGTGGTTCATTATGGTGGTTACTGGCTGGGTCAAAGGTAAATCCTGAGCTACTGTAACTCTGAGTGGTACACTCAGCCCCTGAAGAGAGGGAGAGGAAAGTCTGGAAGTGCAGCAGAGGCACTTGCATCATGTCTCTCAGTAGTGACCTGGTTAGCTAGGGATGAAGCTAATGGGTTCCTAATAATGATGCTTAGCACAAAGATTCTTTAATCCTTGTAGCACAGTTATGAATTGGGTCATCATTCCCATTTTATTGATGGGGAAACTGAGGCACAGAGAATTGCCTGAGGCCACACTGGGAGTCAGTAGCAGATCTGGGGATAAGATTCAAGATCTCTTAGTTCCCAGTCCCATTCATGAAACCACTAGCTATGACTCTCACCTATATATTTTTCATGGCATTTCTGTCTATGCCAAAAGGTTTAAATCCATTTTCCTTAGGGTTTTTGCTAACAGAGGGTGTGTAGTCTGTTTCAGCCCTGCTGATTGAGAAGGGGACCAGATACCCTTCCCCTACATGACAACACTTTACACAGCTGTACAAAAGAGTTTAGCTTTGGCTCCAGTGTTGATTTTAGGATTACTTTTGTTTTGATCAGGAATGGGTCTTATGACCCTTTTAGGACTAGCCTGGTTCCCATATGATTGGGAAAAGTGCTTTTGCAGGGCTCTTCTGGTTTGGTGATTTCACCACTTCACTTTAACTGTTTTCTAGGTTCTGGCATTGCCTTGGTGTCTAATTTTGAGCAGCTGCTGCGTGGAGTCTGGAAGCCAGAAACAAATGAAATTCTTCATATGACCTTGTAAGTATCTAGAATAAATTCTCTCAGACCAAGAACATATCCAAGAACAGTGCCTCCTATTCTGTGCAATTCTACTTGATGTGCTGTATGAAATGAGATCTAATTTCTTTCCTAGCCCAACAAAAGCCAGTCTGTATGGAGCAATCCTCTTCACCCTGCAGCAGACTCACTGGCTCCCCATCTCTAAAGCCAACCTCATCTTCTTCTTCACCATGTTTATGATTGTTTGCAAGGTGAGTTTACAACAGGTTTGCAGTTAAAGAGTCTACAGAATCAAAGGAAAGAAGGGGTGTGTATTGCCTCAGGAGTACATAACTAAGTTGGAGGGCCATATCATCACTGGAGTACACAGTCAGGCTGGGGGAGATGTATCACCACAGGGATACAAAGACAGGTTGGGGTGGTGGTATCACCATAGGGGTATGGAGTGACGTTGGCAGGAGCAGGATTGCCACAGAGTTATGGAGACAGCAACTTGGGGGAGGCATATCCCCACACAGGTATGGAGCCGGGGTGTGTGTGCGCATATTGCCACAGGGTAAAGAGTCAGATTGGAAGAGTTAATCAGTTTAAATGTAAAACTCTCCCTTCTGGGATGCTGCTTTACATTTTTGTTTAGTCAGATTCTATCCAATGTCCCCTTACGTCACATACAAATATTTCCATGTAGGGTGCTGCAGTTCTGACCAGTGGGTGTTGACAGTAAGAGTTTCTCTTTTATTAAGTTTAAAAAGTAGTTGTCCTGAAATGTTGAAAATGGCATTTTTGGCAAGGACAATTAGCAATGAGTGAGGCAGAGGGACTCCATCGGCTTGTGTTCAAGAGAAGCCCTAGGACAAGCTCTTGCCCAAGCTCTGGGTGACCCTCCTAGGCTGTTATTGATATCCCTGGGTGTTCACACTGTAGTTAGCCTGTAAAGAAACTGGGGGTTGAATTCTCCCAGTCTTCCAGAAGATATGGGAGATTAGGGTCCCAGCACTGAAGACCCAAATCACTTAGCAATATTCACTCTCTCTACAAAGGTTCAGGGAGCTGGGGGCAGGAATATTCCTTGCCAACTAGCATAGATGCCAACTTTTCCCAGCGTTGGTGGGTGCTCGAACCCCCACCCTCGCCCCACCCCTTTTCCACCTCCTCCCAGTCCTGCCCCGCCCCCATTCCAATCCCTTCCCCAAAGTCCCCGTCCCAACTCCGCCTGCTCCCTGCCCCATTGGACACTGCATTCTCCCTTTCCCCCCAGCGCTTGCTGCCACGGAACAGCTGTTTTGCGGCAGCAAGCGCTGAGAGTTGGGGGAGAAGCAGGGAAGGCACGCTCAGGGGAGGAGGTGGAGGTGAGCTGGGGGGCAGGGTGGGGAGCTATCGGTGGGTGCAGAGCACCCACCAATTTTTCCCCGTGCGTGCTCCAGCCCCAGAGCACCCACGGAGACGGCGCCTATGCCAATTACTATTTAACAGGTGAGGTATGTGATCTGTAACTGCCCATCTCTGATGTTGCATGACAGGTGTTTATGACTGCAGCTCACTCGCATACCTCGCCGTTTGCTCCAATAGAAGGCTTCATCTGCCCAGTACTCTTTGGCTCCGTTTCTAGTGGGTACAACAGTCACCATGACCACCATGAGGATTCCCATGATACTTCCCCTCCTGCGAAATCTAAGGAGGAGCTGAATGAAGGCACACGGAAACGGAAAGCGAAAAAGGCTGAATAAGCGAGATCGGATACACGTGGTGAACAAGCCAAGGAAGAATCCCTCAGAGCTGCATTGAAATCATCTCCAAGCCACCTGTGACCTCACATACCCTCCAATCCCTGAGACTTCAAAAGAGAGAGATGGAAATCAGGACACTGCCAGATGGATCCCTGAATTTCATCCATGCGCTTCGCCCTGCTGCTAGCTTCATGATCTTTGTCTCTACATCTAATCCCCTATTTTAGGGGGGGGGGTAAATTTGTGCCAGGCTGAGGTTTGGGTACAAGTTCCCAGCCCACCAGCAATTATGACAACATTTTGTTACTATACAATTCCTACTGCCCTCCCGTTTCCCCCCCCCGCCCCAACACATCATTGAAGGGGATGTTTTGTGTTCCTCCAACTCACAAATTCCTTTTGATACCCTTAAAAAGAAAATGAAATACTTAGAAACAACTGAATATGGAAATTGGATTTTTCAGCAAAAGAGTAAATTATCTCCTGTGAAGCTGAGCTAATGCATTTCATCTCCCATACTTGCAAAGTACCCCATGATGTAGGGCTTCAAATTAATATGGCATATTTTATATGCCTGATGGGCCTGGCCAAGTACCACTTGGGTAATTACATTTTTCTCATCTAAATTCCCCCTGCAATTCTTAATTGATACAACTTCTTCAGTTCCTTAACATAATGTTTACACATGTTTTGAAGATGTAAAATGCTATAAGTGTTCTATATTCATACTGTTACTATCTTACACTGTTGGGTAGTGTTGTTTGCTGTTAACTCTAACTGCCAACAACTCTCTGCCCCACCCCAGAGCTGACTGCATTTCATTGGGGAGGTGAAATGATCCCTAGAGTTTGGATACTCTTTTGTTTGTAAACTACTTTGGAATCCTGACGGATACAGGCACAATCTAAATGATTATTTATTGCTATTTATTATTGCTAAGGCACCAAATTATTGGGCCTGAAATTGGCTTTTAAAGAGAACTCGGAATCTGTATTTACACAGTAGGGCACATTTGAGAAAGGTCTTAGGCCCTCAAGTACACTCTAGCCCATGCTGATTCCAAAGCAGGCTGGAGGGTGGGCTCAATTCTCTCACTGCTGGGAGGGGTATTTCCTTACATTAAAATTTTATAAACCCAGGAAATGGTTTTCAGATAAATCTGATTAAAACACCACTAAACATCTGACTGGAGCGCATCTGCAGAGGAAATATGAGCCTCTTTTGTACAGCTCATTGAGCCAAACTTTTATTAGCTGAGGCTGTAGAGCACTCTCTCTCTCTCTCTCTCTCTCACTCAAATGGGACAGAACACCACACCACACCCAGGAGCTGTGTGGGTTACAATAGCACAAGTATGAGCCTGGGAGAAGGGCCTTTGCCCAGAGGGTGAGGAAGGAAATGGTCAGTCTCCTGAATGCAGAAAGCCATGGCACATGGAGAATTCAGCCAATTCTTTCATGTCCTGCTCTGTGAATGTTTGGGGATAAACTTTAGATAGGAAAGGTTTGAAATCTATGCACTGAATTTGTTCTTAAAAGTGTGACCTTGAATGTTGCCGCCACATGAAGTGCATTTGGGTTCTGAATTTCCGGGGTCGGTCAGCTGGAGCTGGGAATACTGCTGCAGGGGCAGCCCAACTGGTGCTTGGAGCATATGGGTGAGCTTTCAGTGGCATTGCATCCTGCCATCCTCAGCTGATGGTGTAGTTGCTCTGACTCAGCCTGGGTGGGTGAGTGTGTTTGGAGGTGGGGGAATAAGTGAAAGGAATTCAGAGAATCTCTCCCCATCCCTACTCCAAAAACTTTAATTGTTAAAAATCATTGAAATAAATGGAAATTAGTTGCCTAGTGGGGCTGGTGCATGTAACCCTAAACCAAATCCTACGTACAACAGGACTAAAGCCAGTACAGGAGATCAAATTAACTATGGTTCTTAGTTTTGAAAGTGCCTTATCCTTGTGACCTTCTCTCACTCATTATAAAATACAAGAATAGGCCTGATAGCTGTCTATTTTAATAGATTTTGTTTTATTGAAGCCTGATGTTTCTCTGACATGTGCCAAAATGTATTTAATGTTCAGTGAGATGCTTGATTCAAGGGGAATTATTGTTTTATAACAGCCATCAACAACATAAAGAGATTGTGAAGTGACTCAGTGTCCAGTGGTGCTCAGGAGGCAAATGTAGGTCCCTCTGACTTGCTTAAGCCCCAGAAACACTCCAGTTACAACAGATTCCTGGGACGGGGTTACCGCCTGCTTGGCCTCCAACCCAGTTTTGACATGGTTCTAAAGTGTAGTGTAGGTTAGACCTCACTGTGTTCTGTAACCAGACTAAAGCCTTGAACATGACCAAAGGCATACTTAGTCTGGTCTATGCTCTAAATGAAATATGTGCACTTACAGAGTCTACTGCCATTGTTGTCCATAGTTCAGGCTGATCACATGGGGGCTCAGGAAAGAGGGGGTAACTTTTTGGAAGCTTATTAGTTTCCCTGTTACAGTTACAGTGGAAACTCACTCTCTCCATATAGGCATGAAGATGGAAATGGGGACGATGCACATGCGCGCACATACACATCTCTGTATAATCTGTTTGAATCTATTATTGAGTCTTTGCATTTAAAGCTGATAAATCCATGACTCTTACAAGAACAAGAGTCTTGCATGTTTGCTCTACCCGAACCCTTTTGCTGTTATCTAGGGCTGAGTGCCAAGACTCTTTCCAAGGCAGACAGTTGGGTCAGGCTGATGCTCTTTGATAAGACCTAGAATACATGTTCTGTAAGTTATAAGAAAGCAAAGTCTTCAGGCCTTCAAGGGACCGTCTCAGGCCCTGACCAGGGTGGTGAATGCAGCTGCCAGAAGGAGAAAGCTCTATTTCATTTAGTCAGGCCTTCCATGGTGAAAGCCTAGGGGCCTTTATTGAATGAGTAGGTTTCAGCTCTGGCAGCCTCTGGCATAATTCCAGCACTGGCCTCCCTGACCCCTGATGGTAGAGATGGTTCTACAGAAGGCAGTGGACCTAGAACCTACCACAAAGGAACAAGTGGCCCTTCAGGGCTGCCCCCACCTTTTGGTAGCCCACTGGGGCATCTTGTATATACAATGGCTACTTTAGGACTATAAGAGGAGTCGTGTCTGGTTTTGACTCTTTAACAGTAACAGCCATGAAGTCCTATGGAGAGATGGTTTGATTTACTCACTGTCATTGCACAAGAATGTGAGTGATGAGGACAACTCAGTGCAATCCACCTGCCTGCAATGCTTTTAAACAAACGAAGACCTGCACAGGGCTAATCACTTCCAGCCTTGTGAGTCCATCATCTCTCTCTTCCTAGGAGAAGTTTTTAGGAGTTAATATTTTTGCTCTCTGGGTGATCATAGCTTTTGCTCAGGGCATCAGTCCCTTGGTCAATATAAGCTGCAATGAATGGTTAGATCTGAGGTGTCGCTATGACCTGAGCCAGAAGAGGAAAGGTCAGTGTGAGGTGAGACGAATGAGACTTGCTGCATGTGTTGAAACCCACCATTAAAAAATACATGGTTTTAACAATTGTCCTCTCCCATCATATCCACAGAAAATGCTGAACCCATCAGTAAAATGTGCTCAGAGTGTGGTGCTGGCTGGGACTCGCAGGCAGAAGTTTCAGTTGCTTTGTAAAGTTCTAAAATGTCTCCGTGTCCCATGCTGTGCTAGCAGTGCTGAACATTCCCAACTCCAAGCCATGCAGCAGTGCTGGAGCAGGAGTGGGCCTCTCAGGGCAAACAGCTTCATAGCACAGATGTCACTGCCGCCAAAGATGTTCTGATCCGATAACTTTGTTGATACTAACTCTAGTGAGAAGTATCTAAATGTAATAGATTTAATCTGCAAAGAGGCCCTGGTCTTGTGTAATCATCCTGCCTGCTGGAGATGGCAGAGACTTTCTGGCAAGTCATAGTCGCCCCTCTGAATATTTCCTGCTGATAGACAAGTTTCCATTTTCTCTTAAATCAAAAAGGCAGAATAACGGGTCTTTGGTTTTTGCCCTTATAGATTGTTCCCATAGATAAGAGATGTAAAAGCTGCAAAAAGACCTTATTTTGTGTGAAAGAAAAACCTAAGATTATTTCTGTAAGAAGTGGACATGGCTCTTTACAATACAAAGAGGGGAAGCCAAACAAAATACAGAATTCCCGCCCCAAAGACCTTGCAGGGGAAAAGGCAAAAGCCAATACATTGGAGAAGAACCCCAGATTGGCCAATGCTCCCACCCTCTTGATTTCTTTTACTACTGCTGACATGTATATTCTTTCAAACTCTGCCCAGATAGTAGTAACCCCAATGTGAACTCAACATGAATGAAACATCCCAGAAAGTAGAGTTGGAAGCTAGATTATCCAGTCCATTTCCCTGGCAATAATGGATTTTTCCGTCTTGTACACTTCCCAGTGTTTTGTTCACTGTAGACTGAAGTCCCACGCCAAGAGGATCCTGCCACTTCCTTTTGCTGACTATTTAACGGTTGCATGGTGCTTTGAAGATGCAAACCACTAGAGGTATTGAGTATCATTTCAGAGTGTGGCGAGAACTCAGCTCAAAACTAGAGCTTCCTATGCCTACCGTACCACCCTCTGATGCACCTGGTTCTGGCAGCTGTCAGAGTCAGGATACTGGACGAGAGCACTGACTAGCCTGACCAAGTATAGTATTTCCTATGTTCCTTGCTACAGTAAGGTTTTTCCTTCCCTCAGCAGCCTGTTCTGATCTTATACTAAAGCAGTAAGAAATTAGGAAATCTTGAAAAAAGATGTTTCCAAGATTCCCACAAAGTGTGTTTGTTTTAATACAAACTTCTCTCATCTTTATGGGAAATACAGAGCAATAACCAAGCAACTGAGGCAATTTGTCCTTAGCAGGCAAAGCTGAGACTGTTGATCTGCACACAGAGAGAGTTCAAACTTGCCTCTCTGAGATGCTACTGCCTTGCTCACCATAAGACTGATTTTGTCCCAGGTGTCTGTGGATACAATGAGCTGTAGAGCAGTAGGAATATACCACCATCCACCTGACTAGGATGGTGACGGTGATTGTGAAACGCTCAGGGAGATTAGAGAGGCTACAAAAACAGAAAACCCATTAATAATGGGTTATTTCCCCATATTGACTGGTAACTGTCACCCCAGGGTGGCATGCAGAGACAACATTTCTAGACACCATTAATGACTGCTTCTTGAAGCAGCTAGTCCTGGAACCCACAAAGAGAGAGGACATTCCTGATTTAGTCCAAAGTGGAGCAAATGATCTGGTCCCAGAGGTGAATGTAGATGAACCACACAGCAATAGTGACCATAATATAATTAAATTTTACATTCGGCGGGGGAGGGGGGGATACCAAAGAAACCCATCGCAGTAGCATTTAATTTCAAAAAGTGGAACTACACAAAAATGAGGCAGCTAGTTAAAGGGAAATTAACAGGAACAGTTAAAGGAGTGATATGCCTGCAAGCTCCATGGAAACTATTTAAAAACACCATAACAGAGGCCCAAAGTATATGTATACCTGTCACGTGTCCACTCACCACTTGCAGTGCCTTCTGCTGGCCGTCCTGGGAATTAGCTCTGCCAGGCACGCGCTCCTCCTCCAGTGGCATCTTCCCTCGTATTGTCTCTCTCTACAGCCCCACTCACTCCCAGACCTGCCATCTCCTCTTCAGGGCATGGCCCTCCAGTCAGGTCACTAAGGTCCTCCCTTTCCAGGGAATTCACAGTCTTTCCAGACCTGCTGGCTGGCATCTCCAATGCTCTTGCCACGCCCCAGTGGCCGGTAGGAGAACCCAGGCCTGTCTTCTACACTGGGTTCCAGCCCTGGGACCATATAACAAGCAACTACAGTCCATGTATAGTCCTACTCCTTGCTGCTGTTACCCTGGGCTTCTTCCTACTTATTTAGCTTCCCCCCATCCAGGTTTGCCAGCCTCCAACTCCCTCCATTCAGAGAGTGGCTACAGTCTACTTTCCTGCAGCCTTTCCCAGTGGCAGCCCCGTGTGCAGCCAGCAACATACAGGCTTTATACAGGCCCTGCCTGCTCCTGCACAGTGAGCCTGTTCCTCTAACGAGGGCATTCAATCTACTAGGTTAATTGGGCCATCGGGCCTCCATTAACCCCTTACACTCCTGTGTGGCGTGTACACCCCATCACAATACCTCAAGTTAAAAAAATAAAAAAAAGGACCAAAAAACTACCCTGGCTAAACAGAGGAGATTTGAGACAAAAAGACATCCTTTAAAAATAGGAAGTCAAATCCTACAGAGGAAAACAAAAAGGAGCATAAACTCTGGCAACTCAAATGTAAAAGTATAATTGGGCAGGACAAAAAAGAATATGAAGAGCAACTAGCAAAATACACAAAAACTAACAGCAAAAATATTTTTAAGTACATCAGAAGCAGGAAGCCTGCCAAACGATCAGTGGAATCAGTGGATGATCAAGGTGCTAAAGGAGCACTCAAGGAAGACAAAGCTGTTATGGAGAAGCTAAATGAATTTTCTGTATCAGTCTTCACTGCAGAGGATGTGAAGGAGATTCCCACACCTGAGCCATTCTTTTTAGGTGCCAAATCTGAAGAACTGTCCCAGATTCAGAGGGGTAGCCGTGTTAGTCTGGATCTGTAAAAAGCGACTAAGAGTCCTGTGGCACCTTATAGACTAAGAGATGTATTGAAGCATAAGCTTTCGTGGGTGAATATCCACTTTGTCAGACGCATTATAGGGGGGTCATGCGTCTGACGAAGTGGGTATTCACCTATGAAAGCTTATGCTCCAATACATCTCTCAAGTCTATAAGGTGCCACAGGACTCTTTGTCGCTTGTCCCAGATTGAGGTGTCAGTAGATGATGTTGTGGAACAAATTGGTAAATTAAACAGTAATAAGTCACCAGGACCAGATTGTATTCACCCAAGAGTTCTGAAGGAACTCAAATATGAAATTGCAGAACTACTAACTGTGGTATGTAACCTATTGCTTAAATCAGCCTCTGGACCAGATGATTGGAGGGAAGCTAATGTACTGCCTATTTTTAAAAAAGGCTACAGAGGCAACCCTGGCAATTAATGTCCACAAAAAACGCATCACAGATCGTGAAATCTAGTCTCCCTCATGAAATCTGGTCTTTTGTGTACTTTTACCCTATACTATAGAGATTTCATGGGGAAAACCAGCATTTCTCAAACAGAAGGTCCTGACCCAAAAGGCGGTGCGGAGGGTTGCAAGGTTATTATAGGGGGGTCATGGTATTGCCACCTTTACATCTGTTCTGCCTTCAGAGCTATGTGGCTCGAGAGCAGCAGCTGCTGGCCAGGTGCCCAGCTCTGAAGGTAGCACCCTGCCAGGAGCAGCGCAGAAGTAAGGGTGACAATGCTGAGACCCCCCTACAATAATCTTACAACCCTCCCCCCAACACCCTTTTCGGTCAGAACTCCTACAACTGCAACACGATGAAATTTCAGATTTAAATATATGAAATTTATGAATTTTAAAAGTCAATTTTCAAAATGGACTGTGAATTTGGTAGTGCCCTACCTATCTCCTTTCGAAACCTCTGAGCAGACTCTGCTCGTTCGACCTCACAGCCTCTCTCTCACATACACTCAACCTGGTTCAGACTCCTACAAAACAGCCCAATTTGGGGTTCTTAAGGAGGACAAATAAGATCTCAGGCCCCAGCATTCATTTCCCTGCAGGGTGCAATGCAATGGTGCCACCTGGTGCATGGCCTCCAAGTCACAGGGAGCAACTGCACAGCTTGGAGTGGAGAGACATCTGCTCTGTCAGCCTCGGACAGAGCTCGTCTCCCTGGAACCTTTGGGATGCCCAATACATGGCTCAGTGAGAGGAAGCCCACTCTGCCACTGCATGCACTGCTCAATTCTGATGAAATTTTGTCTGTCTCCAATGCTGAGCTTGTGGCACCTTTTACTGTGTTTACTTTGAAGGCTGATTAAAAAAACAACATTAATTGTAGGAGTCTCTCTCTTTTTCACATGTGGGGGTGAAGGGTGAGTTCTTGCAGGGTTCCCATTCCAAGTGCCTCTCTCCTCATTCCAGTTGCCAAGCACTCTTCCTTCTCAGGGAGCCATACCCAAGGAATAAGGGGCTGGGACTCCAGTTCCTGGGAAACTGCCTCTCTGATGCACAGAATCTAGTCTAAACCTGTTTCTTCCTGTCTCCTCTGACATTTCACTGGCAGCTTGGGCAGAATCTCTCTTCAAATGGCTTATCTTCCTCCTGCTCTCAATAACCTGAATGGAAGAATGCTGCCCCACCTCACTGCTGGGCTTCTCCTTGCGTTGGCCTCCTCTTTCAGTGTGTCTGAGGTCTTCATTTCAGGAATTTATTTTGCCTAGTCAGCCTGTCCTACTGCAGCTGCCAGGGAGCTGGAAACAGGCAAGTGACTTACACTAGGAAACACGTGGCAAACCTGACTGTACATGTCAGTCTTCTCCCTTTGTGCCTGTAACACTCCCTAGAGCACATGATCCAGGCACCAAAAATCAGCAGAGAAACGGACTCCACAGCTGGGAAAGTGGTGCACTGGTATCAGAGACTCCGACACGAACCATGAGAACAAACCAGCTCATCAAATACACTTTGTTTGTCTCCTGTTACCTCTTCTGGGTGAGTCTGAGCAGAGCTGGGGCTGCCACGCCCAGGGTGGGGCTGCCACTGGCTGGGCAGCAAGATCACTGCTTGCAGGGAAACCCACTTTCAAAGTCGTCCCAGTGAAGAGTCAGTCTGGCCAGTTGTGATACTAGGGCCCTGTGGTGAGGATGGCAGGGTGCAGGTCCCTTGTAAATTGCTAATCTGCCCTCTGGTATCCCTTCATCGGGGCTCCCCTTGGACAGGCTGTTAGTCCTGCTTCTCTTCTCTGGCTGGGCAAATGTCTCCTGCTCCCAGAATTAGATGCTGTTGGGGATTTTTCCTCTTGCAAAATGATGAGTTTGTCTCTGATTCTTCCTCCCTAGGTGGCCAGTGGGCTCATGGTTGCAGTTGGCATTTATGCCAAACTCTCTAAAGAAGCAAGTAAGTACCATTTCCTGTCCCTCCATAAATTACCAAGCTGGAGTTTAGATAAAGCTAACGAAGTGACTGCAGGGTAATTGTGCAGTCATTGCTCTCTTCCCAGTAGAGCGTGGAGATGAGCTTTGTGGCCCATCTCTGACGGGCAGTTTTCAAATCACCCTCCGCCATCGTTCCTGTATGTCACTCCCACATGGTGGTGCAGGGTGTTGCCAAATCTTTTTGATGGATCTACAAGGGTAAGAAGGATTATTAATAACCATGTACATTTGTCATCCCCAAAGACTGCTGAGTGTTCAGCAATATTCAATAAACAAATTACAAATGGATCAAATAAGGTGGTGCAGCCTAATGAATGCCTGAGAACTCTGGAAAGTAAACTCATGAGGGAGCTCAGCTCCTTCCACCAATGTCATGAACCTGAGGCTTCGTTGCTTCACAGTTTCAACGCTGGGGAATAAACCTCCAAGCACAAATTCCCCCTCCCTTCAATGTGCCATTTGTATTTGCTGAGCACTAGCTATGTGCTTGGTGCTGTACAGACCATAGAGACAAACATGGACTCTGCCCGGAAGGGTTTACAGTCCAAGGTGACAAATGTGTTCATCAATTAAACATGTGGACCCAGGCCACCATGTAGTGCAGAATTTTATTTGGTGAGTGTTTTGTAATCCCGTAGCTCTGTGATGAGAAGGTGCGGCTAAAACTGACGAGTGCAGGGAGGAAATGTGTTTCAAAGGGAGGGTTGGGGCTTGCCCTGGAAGGCTGGTATGTGGAACTTGTCCAGCTCAGTGTTCTTCTGTGAGCTCTGTATCCATTCTTGATACTCCGAGGGGAAGAGGAAGGAGCAGGATTTGGCTTGCGCAAATTTCTTACTTTGCCTTGTTTTTCAATTTCTGCCAGGTGCTGTGGATTCGCTGCTTGCTGATCCCTCGCTGATCCTGCTTACGGTGGGGATCCTGATGTTTGGCATCACCTTTGTGGGGTGTACAGGAGCCTTGCGTGACCTGCCTGTGCTGCTGAAAATTGTAAGGAGAGGCTAGTGGGATGATTTCTTCTATCTGATAGGGATCCCTATGTCTTGGGCTGCCCTTACTAGGCAACTTCCTGCCTAAAGAGAGTGCCTCAAAGAGTGGAGTGTGAACCTGCTCCACCTGCATTAGAAGATCAATTTTTGTCAGTCCCTTAAGTGGGTGCTGAAGGGGGGCACTGGAAGTACTAGCATGTTACTGAGCTAGTGGGAAAATAGCTCACCAACTGCATGAACAGCAAGGAAAAAGAAAAAAAACAGTGAATTCCTGACCACACTGCCATCATGACTCATAACTTCTGGTCCCCACCTGTCTCTTTGGCTGCACATCCAAGCAAAAAGATCTGGTGGCTTGTGCCAGTCCTGTCACCTTTTAATGTGGCCTGTTTTTCACATTTGCACCAATGTTTTGCCATTTACACTATTTGTCCCAAGTCGAAGGGTTGTTTATAATATTTGCCTATCAGAATCCACAGTTATTGCCTTCATAGGAATTTTGCAGAGAGTTTGCAAATGTAACATTCCTCCAGGTGTTGGTATGAGGTTATCTAGGGGATAATTTCATTGCGGAGTGTCTGGAGGCACAGGCATGCTACAGCAGTGCAATGCAAGAAAGTGTGTGTGATATGTTTGGAGACTGCATGTTTCTTGTAGCTAATAGAACCCAATGTGGCTGGAAGAGGTTTAGGGTGTGTTCTTTTCATTTGCAAATAACAAAAATTCCCCCTTGACAGGATTTAACATTTCTCAGTAATACAAAAGGAAAGGTTCCTTCTCAGGTGTCAGCTAATGTTTATCACTATAGCTGGGTAAATACTGGCCCCCACCAAACAGTGTCTTGGAATATTGGCTTCAATTTTAAAATATACTTGCTCTGGGGTCCTTGTGTGCTTCTGAGCTGATCTTCTGAGCCCTCAAGTCATGCTCAGCAACATTTGGGTGAACAAATTTCAAAATGGCCTGTGTGAAGATCTGTGTAGGAAGAGCACTCCGTAAGAGTTATATTTATGCAACTGGAGAACAGAAACAACCCCATCTGCCTTATGTGACCACACTCAGACTGAATTTTGAATGCTGGGAATCAAATGCGCAGACTCAACATGATAAATTCACAGAGTAAAAAAAAAAATTTCACAACTTGTCAAATAAACCTGAGGAAATTGCTGACTGCAGCAAAGCAGCAAAAACTCACCAAAGAAATTGTTTGCTAACATAATAAAGCAGAGAAGAATTCATTTCCCTGCGCTGGTTCCTCTCCCCAAAGGGAGACTTAACCATGCTAATGAAAAGATGGCATTTAAACTAGACAGGACAAAACACTGGAGAATAGACTGTAGGGAACGACAACCAGCCCCAGTGATGGGCTAACCACACTTGGCACATACCTAACCTAGCACTTTGCAACTTCAAAGCACAGCCAGGAGGTGAGTGTTATTAGCTGACCTCATAGGTCTTTTACATCCCTAATAATTAAGATTCCATGACAGGGGCACTCTTAAAGACAAGTGGTAGCCATGTTAGTCTGTATCAGCAAAAACAACAAGGAGTCCTTGTGGCACCTTAGAGACTAAGGCCTGGTCTACACTGGGGGGGAGAGATCGATCTAAGTTACGTAACTTCAGCTATGTGAATAATGTAGCTGAAGTCGACGTACTTAGATCGACTTACCGTGGTGTCTTCACCGCGGTGAGTCAATTGCTGCTGCTCCCCCGATGACTCCGCCTGCGCCTCTCGCGGCGGTGGAGTACAGGAGTCGATGGGAGAGCGTTTGGAGATCGATTTATCATGTCTAGACTAGACGCAATAAATCGACCCCTGCTGGATCGATCGCTGCCCTCCGGTGGGTAGTGTAGCCATAACCTAAGTCTCCTTCCAAGCAGCTAACATGGATTTATGGCTCATTATAACAATCTATAATGCACTAACTTCTTGTCCTATGATAACAGAGGTGTGAACTGCCCACTTCACCTTGAATGACCTCTTATAACATGTAATTCCTTATGCTAAACAACCTGTTCCACCTTGTATTTAGCTGTGACACTCTGAGTACATTTCCCAGTCATGAAGAAGAGCTCTGTGTAAGCTCGAAAACTTGTCTCTTTCACCAGTAGAAGTTGGTCCAATAAAAGATCTTACCTCACCCCCCTTGTTGGGACCAGCACAGCTACAGCATTACAAAAAGCAGCTAATAGGGCAGTCACAATGGCAGCAAGGTCAGAGTATGTCTCCCAGCCTAGGCTGACAGATTGGGGCGAGCAGCGCTTGCACTGGAGGCTGAGCCCCAGCCCAAACTGCAATGTCAAAGTGCTGTTAAAACACTAGTGCAAGCCCCATTAGCCCTAATCTGGGCTGGGAGGCTTGCTCCAAAATGCTGACCTGACTGTGGAGTCAGTGCCTGTTCCATTAGCACAGGTAATCTCAGCTCCATCACCAGTGCTATAGCAGAGGTAGTGGGGCATTTTTGTCTGAAACATTCTAATCATTTTCTTCTAGCCTCACCTGCAAATAAAGCATGGAGGATTGTGGGAAAACCAGCCAGGGGGAATTCTGTTCTAGCCCATGGTGTATTCCTCAGCTGGGACTTATAGGCAGGGGATTTGACTCTCTCCAGTACATTCGGGTAGTGATATTTACCAGCAGTACTACCATTTAGCTATGATGGGGAGCCCTATCTTGTAATAACACTGGTATCCAGGTGGTTGCCTGGAAGTTCTCACATTCAGCCCTCCTGCTGCAAGGAGGGCTGGGACCTGGAAAAATGGTAGTGTAGTGCAGGCAGGAGACAGCCTTTTATGCATAATCAGGCCTGGTCTCTCCAAGGGGCTGGTAATTTAAACAGTTCCCCTGCTCAGCCAGGTCTTAGGCTTGTCCCCTGTGTTCTCTGCAGTGTTTCAGCTGCTGTGTCCTCTTGTAGAATCTGGAACTAGATTTTCCAAGCCTTCCTGCACAGGGCGTATCTCTGGAGTTTCCAGGGATTGTCTTGTGTGTAACAGGTCTTAAGCAGGCCCCAGTGCCTTGGGGCCCCCCAAGATACAATATTACTGAAGGGGAAATGCTGGTTCATTGCACCTGACAGCTGATTTCCTCTGGACTGTTGGAGGTGGAGGATGATCTCATTGGAGCTCTGGGTACGAGTATTAACACACATACACAGCAGGGTGAATGTACATGACACATCATAGACACAGCCCCAGCCCCACAGGGCTCTTGCATCGATGCTGGTGGGGGGAACTGGTTGCTCTACAGGTTGTTCTGATGATCTCACCCCTTCATTTTTCAGTTTGCCTGGATTTTACTGATCATTCTCATTCTCCAGATCGTGGCTGCTGTCCTGGGATTTCTCTTCTCTGGCATGGTAACTGCAAAGCCAACTCCAAAGCTGGCTGACACTTTGCTGAATTAGACAGTTGCATTTGGCAACATAATTGCATGAGCACAGATCTAGAAGTCAGTAACACCCTATGTAGCCTTGGGCAAGTCTCTGCCCCTCCCTGCCTCAGTTTCTCCTCTGGAAGATGGGAACATTAATACTTCCTCTACCTACCTGACTGTGCAGTTGTCAAGATTAATCAGGTAACATCTGAATGCACAGTGTAGTGTGCTATATATATGCAGAGTATTTATACTCTGGCTGCCAACAGGGATGCAGGTCAACCTTCTCCATCTGCACTTTTTGGGAGGCGAATGGGGAAAAAGGCAGTCACTTGGGTTTAACTTGCATTTGTCCCTGTGACATGCTCAGATTAGGGGTGCCTCGGAGAGGCCAGATGCCAGAGACAAGACTTGGGCCCAAAGTGCAGGAAATGGAAGACAAGGGGAGCTTCTGAAAGTCAGTGAATCTGCCTGGTAGATGCTGACAACTGCACTGTCTGTGTGTGTTGCAGGTGTTGGAGAAAGCAGCATTTCTGATGGGAAAAGCTATCTCCGGTTATAGGGATGACCTAGATTTACAGAACCTTATTGATTATATACAGAAAAAGGTAATTTAAAAACACCTCTCAGATTTGTATCATGCTTTGCTGTTCAATTATTTCAGTGAAGGCAAATGGCCAAACATACTCTGTCTCAGATCCTCAGTCAGTGCTGGGATCTCAGTGCCAGCATTAGACCCTCACATACACAGGGAGCCTAACGCCAGGTCCCTGATAGCCAGCTTCCCATTGTCTTGCCAGGCCCTGTGCTCAAGTCAGTGTTTTCTCCACTCCTCAAACCACAGAAAGAAGAATGGTCTCCATTTATTTTTTTCTGTCCACGGCAGCAGCTGTGACTTTCACCAGGGCAGTTGGAAACAGAGTGAAATTCACCATTGGCCAATTTAGGGAAACCCCATTTTTGCTCCCTGTTTGCACAACAAGACACAGTTGCTTCTCCCTCCCAAATTGGATTCCTAAAGTCCCCTGAAAGTCTGTGAATACCCATGAGAGAGATAAGAGAAAGATGGTTGAGTCAACCATGTCTCCTGTTCAAGCCGCTGCTCAGACACTGGTAATCTGAGGAGGCTGTGGGGGGGTTTAACTAGATTCCAAAGATTACAGTTCTCCCTTTCTGGATTGTAGGGGGTCTTCTGGGCAGTTTATTCCTACCCGTGGGTAACTTATCTCACAGCTATTCTCAGAACTCCTGTCTGTACAGTCCCATGCACACTTGGGCCCTGTGTAAACAAGCAGCTACCCCAGGGTCCTCCTTTCTGTTTCACTCTCTCAGTTTGAGTGCTGTGGGGTGCATTCCTACAAGGACTGGTCCCAGAATATTTACTTTGAGTGCCAAGACTCCAACCCAAGCCTGGAACGCTGTGCTGTGCCTTTCTCCTGCTGCATCCAAAAAGATCAAGATGCAGCCATTACTGTAAGTCAAATCTGGCCACATTTTTGTGGTTAAAATTTTTTTCTTTAGGTTTTTATTTTTAAAAAATCTCCACTGCAGCACGTGGTTGGGAGCTGAGGACACACATTAAAATAAAGCCAAAGAGATCAAGTAGGAACGTATCAGAGGTACTTTGCATTATATAACATTTCATGTCAGGATCTCAATGCAGTTTGCAAGGTCAGGTCATTATCATTATCGCCACTGGGTTAGGGAAACTGAGGCACAGAAAGGCGATGTGACTTTACTTAGAATATACAGTGAGTCTGTGGAAGACTCAGAACAGAACCCACATCTCCCAATTCCAAATCCCTCGTACTAACCATTTAACATGCTGTTTGTCTGTAACATAGGTGGCTAGACCACCAAGAACAAAGCAGTGTTCTGTTCTGGTTGTTTGATTGGGCCCATCACTATGTATCAGAATCACAGGACTGGAAGAGACCTCGAGAGGTCATCTAGTCCAGTCCCCTGCACTCATGGCAGGACTAAGTATTAACTAGCCCAGGGGTGGCTCCGGAGCCATATGCAGCTCTTCAGAAGCTAATATGCAGCTCCTTGTATAGGCACCGACTCCGGAGCTGGAGCTACAGGCGCCAACTTTCCAATGTGCCAGGGGATGCTCACTGCTCAACCCCTGGCTCTGCCACAGGCCCTGCCCCCACTGATTGGGAGGAAGGGGGAGATGCTGATCGGTGGGGCTGCCGGTGGGCGGGAGGGGTATGACGTGGGGGAGCTGCTGACGTATTACTGTAGCTCTTTGGCAATGTACATTGGTAAATTCTGGCTCCATCTCAGGCTCAGGTTGGCCACCCCTGAGCTAGACCATCCCTGCTAGATATTTGTATCAGGACACCTGTCCCCCCCCCCCCCTCTCCTCTCAGGGTCAGGCATGCAGTGACTACTTCAGGGGGGAAAGAGCAGATCCTGTTCCTCACTCACTAAACTCTTACTGGCTCTTCTCTCCCTGCAGAGTGTTCTCAACACCATGTGTGGCTATGGGACCCAGAACCTGAGATCATGGAAAGCAGAAAGTCTGATATACATTGAGGGCTGCTTGGAAAAGATTGTTGGCTGGGGGCAGAGAAACCTGCTGCTTGTTGCAGGGATAGCAATAGGACTCTTTTTCTTGGAGGTAACTGAGGCTGTAACAGCGTTAAGACTACGTCTGTATTAGAAAAGTGCATCAGTTTAACTAAATCCATTAAAAACTAATCAAGTTAAACCAGTGCAAACTCTCAAGAGCAATGCACTTAAACTGATTTAAGCTAAATTAACATAAGCAAAGGTTAAGTTGGTAACTTACTAATTGCAAGCTATCAAGCGTGTTGATGCAAACTACCTCCATGTATAGAAATGCATCTATATTAGGAGTTTGCATTGATTTAATTAAATTTATTTTAAAATAAATGTGGTTAAACCAGTGCATTTTTCTAGTATAAACAAAGCCAAGAATCTGCTTGGCTAGCTCTATGAATGATAACCACTCCCCTCCATACAAAGTTTTCAAACTTGGGTGGCAAACATTAACAGAAGAGTCTGCAGAAGAGAAGAATGAGGGGGGATTTGATAGCTGCTTTCAACTACCTGAAAGGGGGTTCCAAAGAGGCTGGATCTAGACTGTTCTCAGTGGTACCAGATGACAGAACAAGGAGTAATGGTCTCAAGTTGCAGTGGGGGAGGTTTAGGTTGGCTATTAGGAAAAACTTTTTCACTGGGAGGGTGGTGAAGCACTGGAATGCGTTACCTAGGGAGGTGGTGGAATCTCCTTCCTTGGAGGTTTTTAAGGCCCGGCTTGACAAAGCCCTGGCTGGGATGATTTAGTTGGTGTTGGTCCTGCTTTGAGCAGGGAGTTGGACTAGATGACCTCCTGAGGTCCCTTCCAACCCTGATATTCTATGATTCTAACACCTAAATCCATAGTTAGATACACAGTACTAATAATATAGTGACATACGAACAATAATGCTTAGGCACCTAAACAAGTAGCCTGAGTTTCACAGGTGCTGAACTCCTGCAGCAACCATGGAAGTCAGTGGGGGACACAGTCCTTGGCATCAGAACCTTGGGTTTTGTCTAGAGGGTAAATTACAGGATTTTGTGGTCCCTTCCCTGCATTTCCCCTGCTCTCAGCCCTCAGGGATGTTGCTTTCAGGTATCAGTGAATCCAGCCCTAGTGACTTCCTTTTCCCTTCCAGATTCTCGTGTTTTCCATGGCCGTGATGCTCATTTACCAGATTGACTTTATCATACAGAAACGGAAAAGCACAAGGAGGAGAGGCCCCGAAAAATAAGTCTGTTGCTCCCATCAAGAGCCCAGCATGGTCTCTATTGCCGCTGGTGCGGGCTGTGTAGAAGGAACAGACTGAGATCTCAGTCGAAACACTGTGAATACCCCAGAGGGTGCCAGGGCCCATGCCCCAGGTGAATGAACAGACACTGGAAAGCATTTTCTGTGCATATGAGGCAGAGGCAACTGCTGCTTGGAAAGGACCCTTGCTGCCTGATGGGATCATCCGATGGGTCTCTCACTCTCTCCTCCCGCACTGTTTTATTACCATGGACATTTGCACAATACCAAATCTTTCTTTTTTGAGATTCCTGATGTTTATTCTCCATCTGTGGTCAGAGTCCTCTGGTTGCTTTAGCGATCACTTTGGAGGACAGGATTACAATTGAAAAGAAACTTGACAAATTGGAGAATTGGTCAGAAATCAACAAGGTGAAATTCAGTAAAGACAAGTGCAAAGTACTACACTTAGGAAGAAAAAAGTCAAATGCATAATTACAAAATGGGGAATAACTGGTTAGGTGTTAGTGCTGCTGAAAAGGATCTGGGAGTTATAGCAAATCACATGAGCCAACAATGTGATGCAGTTGCAAAAAATGCTAATATCATTTCGGGATATTGTAACAGAGTTCCCAGAGGGCCAGGTGGATAGCCCACCCAGTTTCCAGCCTTGCCTCCCTGCAGGAAGGCCTTTCAGTCCAGTTCCTAACCCTTAGCTTTATCTCAGGGTTTTCAATGTCCTTGCCCTCTCCTTACTAGAGGGGGAGTGGGGTGGAAATGAGCCTTACACTCCTCCTGCAGCAAAGGCAGTTGGTAGGGGAGCCCGGTCCTTCCCACTCTACCAGGCTCTTACCCAGGGTCCTATGAGTGCCAACAGTGTCCAGCACCCTGGAATGCCCTCCACTTTGCCCCTGGGCCATTTCCTACCATCCATCCCCACATGCCTTCAAGTCCTATATAAGATAATAAAAGAAAATAAAAAGACAACTAAACCTTCAGCCCAAACTAGGCTCAGCAGGTAGGCTGCTTTGGCACCCTTGTTCAGGAGCCCACAGGGTAGGTCTGTCTTCCTCCCCAGCCTCCCTCTTCTGAGCTAAGTTGTTCTCTTTATGTTTTAAAGTGCCTCTCCAGTTGGAGCATGCTCTGCAGGTCTGGAGTGGTGGCGCTTCCTTTAACCCCTTCAGGCCCAGTGTGAGCTTTGTACACTCCATCACAGGTACATTAACAGGAGTGTTGTTTGTAAGACACAGGAGGTAATTGTCCCATTCTATTCAGCACTGGTGGGGCCTCAGCTGGAGTACCGTGTCCAATTCTGGGTGCCACACTTTAGGAAAGATGTGAATAAATTGGAGAAAGTCCAGAGGAGAGCAACAAAAATGATAAAAGGTTTAGTAAATCTGATTATGAGGAAAAGTTAAAAAAAATGGATATGTTTAGTCTTGAGAAAGATGGAGGAGGGGGATCTGATGACAGTCTTCTAATGTGTTAAAGGCTGTTATAAAGAGGATGGTGATCAACTGTTCTCCATGTCCACTGAAGGTAGGACAAGAAGAAATGGGCTTAATTGCAGCTAGGGAGATATTACGGGAAACTTTCTAACTATAAAGATAGTTAAGCTCTGGAGCAGGCTTCCAAGGGAAGTTGTGGAATCCCTGTCATTGGAGGTTTTTAAGAATAGGTTGGACAAACGCCCATCAGGGATGGGCTAGCTTTACTTGGTCCTCCCTCAGTTCAAGGAGCTGGACTAGAAGACCTATCAAGGTCCTTTTCAGGCCTACATTTCTATGATTGTGATAGCACACTCAGGAGGCTTTGATCACAGTGGGGCGATTAGCAATTGCTGCAGGGAAATTGTGAATCTGTTTACAAGTACCAATCCCTTGTAATAACTAATGGGGAATGTGCCAAAGGGACAGAATTGTTTCATAATAAAGATTTCCCCCATTTTCCATGAGGTGCCAGTTCTTTGGAGTTTTAAAGCCACAAAGTCCCTGCCATTGGAGGCTACTGGCTAGTGCAGTCCCTGGGGGATTTGTATCACAGGCTCTGTGTTCAGCTATATTTGCATGTACTGTAACTATACAAGTATCAGAAGGGTAGCCGTGTTAGTCTGGATCTGTAAAAAGCAATGAAGAGTCCTGTGGCATCTTATAGACTAACAGACGTATTGGAGCATAAGCTTTCGTGGGTGAATACCCACTTCGTCAGGCGCATGCCAGTGCCCTGTCCGGATGCGCCTGATGAAGTGGGTATACACCCACGAAAGCTTATGCTCCAATACGTCTGTTAGTCTATAAGGTGCCACAGGACTCTTTGTCGCTTGTAACTATATGTTATTGCCAGGAATGGTTTCTTGAAGAGCTGAACCTTCAGGATTGTATTTTTTGTTTTGTCATGGTGCTAAAGGGTCCAATCATGTTAAGAGCATCCAGCTCCCATTCCCTGAGCACTCCTCACCTTTTATGATTACAAACCCAAACTTTTTTTGGTGGGAGGGCGATGGAACCAAACACCTTTTGCATCCGAAAACTACCAGTTTCCTTCAGCAGCAATTACAACTTTCCAGGCCCAAGAAAATTTGGGAGCCTCTACTGGGTGATGCTGCCATAGACAGAGAACTTCTAGCTGGCAGTTATTGGAAATATGACACATTTGCTTGGAGTGAAGGAGTCTGTTTGCTGCTAACTCCAGCTGGTGAGAGTTTATCGGCAGGGCGTTTTCCTCCTCACTGTACCCCATGGACTGTTGAAATGTGCAATTGGGAGTGACCCTGTGCAAGGCCAGTTCTCTCACAGTCTGACAAGTATGTGAACAAGCAGATTGCATTCTGTACAGTATAATCCAAACTGTAAGAGTCATCTTGTGCCACTGGAGTCCAGCTGTCATATCACTTTCCAAAATAAAATCATTATTTTTTTATCCTGGTCATTGTCGACATTGCATGGTCAGTTAGTTCTTGTATAATAACTTTTTTCTTGTCAGCTTCCCCTGTGTGCTGCGTCTGTCCTCCCTGTAGTTTACTTGGAGTCACATCACAGACTTCAGAGGTCACTGTACAGGTGTAAATATTGACTGGGAATATTTTATTAGGTCACCCTTTTACACATTGACAAAAGACTAGTGCAGACAGGGCTTGGGTGTATTCCCCCGTGTCAAAACCTGCTATGAGCAGGTGGAAAGAATGCCAGTGCCCTGTCCGGATTCCTGCTAATACTGTTGCTAGCTATGGTACCGCTGTCCACTGCTGGAATACGGCTACAAGAATTTCTAGCATAAACAAGGCCACTGAGTGAAAGGGCCTCAAGTGTACATCCCTGACTAAGAGAACTCTAGAGTCTGGCACTTTAGAGCACCCCGGGGATTCGCCCAAGTGACAAACACTGGTTGCTATAGAGATGGATGCCCTCCTGGGATGCAGCCAAGCCCCTGTGTTGCAAGGAGACAGAGTTTCACAGCTATCAGCGCAGACTCAGAGCTCTAGGTTTTCCTAATTTTTCCATTTGAACAGCTGAGGATTTTACTGGTCCTGTTTAAATGTGAAGGAACAAAGCCCCACAATGGTCTGTTCTCTGGGGTGATGTGGGAAGTTTTGAGGGGGCAGTTTCCAAGTGTGCAGAATCGCTCACTAGTGCCACATGCTGGGTCTCATTCCTGACACTTGTTTGAATATATTCTTCTGTAAAGCAGTGTCCTTCAAGGGAGAAGTCAGCGAGTGAAGACACCAGCATGAGTCTCAGCTGCCTCAGTCCGGACACATGCCGGGACCTTCTCCAGGGTAAGATGGTCCCTTTGCCCTTCCAGCCGTCCAGTCTGGTCCGAATCTTCATCAGCTCAGCTTCCTCAGGTAAATAAGCTGCGAAGTGCTGAAGATGCCAAATGATTTTGGCAGTCTGAATGCAGATCTCGTCCCTTACACGAGAAGGGATGAGGGTAGTGGGTTGCACTGTGCAGCAACATGGCCAGGCTGCTTGACTCAGCAAAGAATCATGTCCTCCATGGGAGTTGCAGCTCCACATTAAAAGGTGAAGGTGGCTGCAGTTTGCTGCATTTTATTCAAAGTTAGGTGCGTGCTGTACTTGCCACCACCATCCCCTCTGCACGTAGATGGTGTCTGAGAGAGCAGGATTCTGGCACTAATGGCATTGCCAGTGCAGACAGGGTCAGCATGCAGCACACTTTACTGTGCAAGGGGCCAAGGAGAAGAGATGCTGGCTGGTGCACAAGACTGACTTTCAAGTGGCTTTAGTGAGGCTGGGTGCAATGGGTCCCCTGAATTTTGGTTCTTTACTTCCATTGTAGTGTGGAGAAAAATACATGGAACAGCATGTGCTTGTGTGTGAGAGCATGGGTGGGAATGTGCATGCTTGAGCATGTGAAGAATGGAGTATTCATGAATGTGTGTGTCTGTGAGGGGGAAGGGCTGTGCATGTGCAGGGCATTGTGTGGGGTAATGGGTACGTATGTGGCTGTGAGTGCTCTTATCTTTCTCCTATTTGCTCTTTGGTTTTCTTTGTCACACCCCTGGTAGAGCTCTCTCAGTTGGACCTCATCAGGCTTCTATGTTTGGATCCCAAGATGCTACACCTGTGTGCTCTTAAACTTCCCTTGGTCCAAGTAGGCTGCAGCACTGTGTCTCTATTTGGCTGCTATGGTACATGTCCTGGGCACAGGCTTTCATCTGTTGCCCCTTCACAAAAATGGGACTTGATGGCCCAGCTGTCCTAGGCCCCCAGGACCAGAGCTCACTTCCCAAACTCTCCAGTAGCTTAAGCACAACCTTTTCCAGGCTCCAACCCTGTAGGCACTCTCCTTTACAGTTCACCTATCCAGGGACACATGATAGTGGAAACAGAAAGAGACCCAGGCTTTGCAAAGGCTTCAAAAACCAATCACTTCTTTTTTAGCTAGCTCAAGAAATACACAAATCTAGACAAAACAATCACACCTGGACACATTTCCCTACCTCATTTCCTCACCACTCTTGAGTGTTCTTCATGCTTAGGTCTGAGGTCTTTAAGGAGTCCAGTCTCCTCTTCTGTGCACAGCTTCTCCTCTGAAACATGGAATCTCTCTTTCCTCTGCATCCAGTTCCCTCCTCCTTAGTTGGTTCTGCAGTTAAAAATGACCCCTCTGGTTTTTAAAACACAGCACTAGTAACTGGCCTTTTTGTTCTCCTGATTAGGGATTTTCCACTCTCCTGAACCCTACATTGTCCCTGGTTTTGGAGATACACAGCACAGCCCCTGACAGCAGATGGCTGACTCCACATACACCTATTGTTTGGGCTCTACCAAATTCATGGTCATGTAAAATACGTCACAGACTGTGAAATCTAGTCTCCGACCATGAAATCTGGTCTTTTGTGTGCTTTTACCCTATACTATAAAGATTTCATGGGCGAGACCAGCGTTTCTCAAATTGGCGGGTTCTGACCCAAAAGGGAGTTGCAGGGGGAGTCACAAGGCTATTTTAGGGGGGCTGCGATACTGCCACCCTTACTTCTGTGCTGCCTTCAGAGCTGGGTGGCCGGAGAGCAGTGACTGGTTGCAGGAGAGTGGCAGATGGAGGCTGGGTGCCCAGCTCTGAAGGCAGTGCCTCGCCAGCAGCAGCGCAGAAGTAAGGGTGGCAATACCATACCATGCCATCATTACTTCTGCGCTGCTGCTGGTGGCGGGTCTGCCTTCAGAGCTGGGCTCCTGGCCAGCAGCTGCCACTCTCAAGCTGCCCAGCTCTGAAGGCAGCGCTGCCACCAGCGGCAGCACAGAAGTAAGGGCAGCAGTATCACAACCCCCCCCACCCACACACACACCTTTTTGGGTCAGGACCCCTACAATTACAACACCCTGAAATTTCAGTTTTAAATAGCTGAAATAATGAAATTTACGATTCTAAAAATCCTATGACTGTGAAATTGACAAAAATGAACCGTGAATTTGGTAGGGTCCTACATATTGTATGCAGTGTCACTGTAGCCATGTCGGTCCAATAAAAGATGTAACCTCACCTACTTTGTCCACATACACTGAGTAATTCAATGACACAGTAATTTAATTAAATCAATCAGCCAGTATTCATAAGTTGCACATAGACAGATTCCCCAAATCATCACATTGATTTTAACTGTCTCTGTTAACTGTTTGGGTTCAGTCAGTGGATAGGACACCCTTACAAAGGGCTGCACTGACAGTGCTGGGAGCCCTCTTTTCACAGCAGGGGCAGCAGCCACAGAAGTGTCACAAATGCGGCTCTCGTCCCCCCCCCCCTCCCCCCAGGAGTTAAAGTGTGCCCTTCGCTGTGGCTTTTCTACTGAGACAGCCAACAGAGGGGCTGATTAGTCCCATACGTGAGGGGGTTTGACCACTGTGAAATTCATCCGGGGGGTTGGAAATACATTGTCCTGGATCAGTACTAGATCAAGGCTGCTGTGTGGTACTCAACAGCTCTAAGCTACCTCAAAATCCACTGTTGCTCATCTTGCATTAAAAAAACAAACAAACAAACAAACAAAACCCACATTGTTTCTAGGCCTTATGAAGAAAATGTTTAAAATATGACTTCACGTAACCAATGCAGTAATGTGTGCCTGAATCCGCAAACAGCAGGAAACAATAGTGCTGACTGTCAGACAGTACTGTGATGAGGAGAGTATGAAACCTAGCTAGATTAGACAAGTATTCATCTGAACAGGGTTTTTAAATCTGAAACCTAAAGGTGATGAGTAGGTTGATTGACAACTAGATAGAAGATTCCTAACTTTTCTTGTGGTGCTGCACAAATCTTTCACCTGATGATTATCTGTTCTGTTCATTCCCTCTGAAGCACCTGGCATGGGCCACTGTTAGAAGACAGGATACTGGGCTAGATGGACCTCTGGTCTTACCCAGTATGGCCATTCTTATGTTCTTCCTTGCAGACATGGCTACAGAGAGAGAGACCCTGCTTAAGGCAGCATACCCTGAGGTCCAGGCCTTCTGTCAGAAGCACAGTTTAATGTTTGAGGTAAACCATTTCCTGTACTACAGACTATTGCTGATGCTTTCTGATCTGGCTGCAGGCCATCAAAGTGTGTGAGATGCAGAAAAAAGTGATCCATGCCCCACAAATGCTCCCTGACTTCTCAGCCTCCCTAAAGGCTTAGAAGCTTTCAGGAAGGGCTATGTTGGCCTCCTAGTTCTCACATTACTCCCAGGCTCCCAGGCTCAATTGGAGAAATTATTCTATACTTTCTCTACACTGATAAACAAGTGTTCTGTGTTCCATCCCAGAGGTGGATGCACTTCAGGAGTATCTGAAATTATCCCAGTCTGTACCATCTGTGCAGAACTTTTGGCATAAAAGAGGTTGTTGTAAGGCTGGGGATCATTATTATTATACCCTATAATGCAGTATCATACAAATATTGTATCAAACATCCTTCAGATTAACAAGTTTCCTTGACTTGAACAAAACTGTATGAATCACATGTCAGGCTGCCTATGGTTCAAATTCCCAAATTTGTGCCTCCTTCTGGATATCCCTGGCAAGAAATTACATGCCTCTCTGCCTCTCCCAAGTTTCTAGTCACTAAGTCACATGGGCCTTGTTGATTTCAGCTTTAGCTTTGAAATTAAAGTGATGGGGCAGCTTTGTCCCTCCATATCACTGCCATTTCAAGATGATGTGAATTATTCTCCAAGCATCCCTGTGCTTTTTTGCTGTTCTGCAGGTAATTGACCTGAGATGGGGTGTTTGTGACGTTATAGACACTGATCACATGAGCACACAACTCTGTCTGGAGGAGATTGAATCCTGTCAAAAACTGTCAGTGGGTCCCACTTTTATCGTAAGTACAAAGAGTGCATGCTCAGACCCCACTACCAAGGAAGACATATGGGGCTGGCCTCACACATCCATAACTTGCTGAGCTCATGTGGAGATGCAGGAGTATTTTAGCAACACAGAAAGGTGCTTGTCATTACTTGGGGGAAGAAGTCTTCAGAAGTATTTCATCAGGGAGCAGAAGAGGGAAGTTTCAGCAACTAGGTGGGGTTTGGCCTCCAAAAGTACACACACGGCACATGTCCAGGCCAGCTCTGAATACATGGGCTGTTAAGGGAATGGGGCTACAGCACTGGAGACAATGGGCTGTGGGGAAGAGGACTGTGCATTCTGAAGAAGCAGACAGCGTTAGGAGTCAGACAGACAGAATAAGAGATGAGTGGGCAGTGCCATCTATCACCCCACGAGCTCTACCCCCTGCCCAACATCTCAGGGCCTGGGTGACTTTCATTGGCAAACTGAACAGTTCAGAAAAAATCTTCTCGGGAAAGAATGTGGCAAAGAACCAGGACTATACCCCCATGGCAAGGAATGAGTGTGTCTGTTCCACTGCTTTGACCCACACAGGCGGAGGGAACTGGGGACCCTCTAATACCTCCTTCCAGGAGCTGAAGGCTGCATGTTATGGCAACCTCTTTCCTGACCTGCTTGCTGCCCTTCCTTCAGGTGACCTAGCACTGTGGTGACAGGCATGGTATTAAAGATCTGATCAGAACACAATACTCAGAGCTGTCAGGTCCTGTTCTCTCCAAAGGAGGTGAGCTGGGGCTACAGTATCAGCCACCTGTTCTGGTGCCACACCCACCTTGTTGTTTGGGGTTGGTTAGATTTTAGAAAGAGAGAAGAAAAGGTGCTGATGACAGGACAGAACAAACAGGGAGAGGGCCCTGCCCTAGCAAGAGCCCAGTCCTGGTAAGGGCCTGGCCCCAGGGAGGCCCTGCTGTGGTGTGGCCAGAGCTGCGTGCGAGTAAATAAGTTAGTAGGCAGTTGTGTGAAATACATCTGATTTCCCCAAGAGTCTTCTGCATTCAAAGTCTGCCAGGTCTCAGAGAGAGAGTCAATTAGAACCTCAGCACCGGGTTACTGTGTGTGTCCCAGAGGAGCACGCTCTGTGCTCTGCTCTGACTGTTCAGATGCTCCCATTAGCTGCTCCATGTTGTATTCCGCAAATGTCTCTAGTGGTAGTCAGGTAATTTCATAACCAAGCAGCCATGCCCAGACTGCCTCCCATTATGGGTCTGGCTCCCCAGGCCTCAGCCCAAGACCCGATCCATTTGTCAGGGCCTCAGATACAACCAAGTTCCCAGGACCTCAGGCCCAGTCCAGCTGTCAGAGCCACAGCCACAACCCAGCCTTGTCAAGCTCGCAGGCACAAGCCCAGTGCAGCTCTCGGGGCCCCAGGTCTTCATTTCTACTTATTCAGGAGAAATGGGTTTCCCCCATTTGCCTGCAGATGATGCTGCTGGTGAGTATTACAAGCCTTTTCTGGTTCCTCTGCTACAGGGGCTGCTTGGGGATCGCTATGGACACCGGCCCCTCCCCCGACTTATCGAAGAGAAAGAGTTTGAGGCCCTGATTGCACAGCTGATAGGGGACCCCACCGCCACACATCTTCTGACATTTTGGTACTGGAAGGATGAGAATGCCATTCCTTCTGTGTATGTCCTGCAGCCAATTACTGACCATCTGCCCCACTGCCACCCCACTGCCAACCAGGCTCAGCACCAGGCAGATGTGGAGGTCTGGAGGAGCCTGGAGAAAGATCTGGCCGTAGCACTGCGCCTGGCAGCCCGGGAAGCAGAGAAGCACGGACTCATCAGCCAGGAACAGAGGCATTGCTATGACAAATCAGGTGTGCCCCAACATGAGACAATGGCCATAGCCAAGCAGGGCTCTCCCCCTACACCCTGGTTTTGTCTTCTTTGTAGCAATCAGGAGAAGATGGGCCTTTAACTCCATTTTGAGTCACCCCCAGGCTGTGGGTGGGCGGGTGGCAGTGTGCTGGCTCGCTAGCTGCGCTTGAGGTGCAGAGTGGGTAGGTGGGAGTGTGCTGGGCTGATTTAGGCTGTGGCTTCTCCTGTGCTCTTTGTTGGACCTAAATGTTCTTCACATTTCCCCCTTACTTTTGTAGAGACAGAGTGGGAGATTGAACAAGGCCTCCTCAACACCCAGGAGATCGACTTGGCTGCTTCCATATTCCTCAGAGAGGTTGAGGGCCTTGACAAACACCTGCTGGAAGGGACAAGCATGCAACTGGTGGATACAGAGGAAGATGGTAGCCTGGACAATGAAGCCCAACAGCTGCTCCGGAGCCTCAAGGCAAAAATTGCAAACTATTACCCCCAGCATCTCAAAGTGCATACAGTCCCATGGAATGCACACCCTGAGAACCCGCGACACAAGGGGCATACCAAGTACCTGAAGGAGCTGTGTGAACAGTTCATAACTGCTACAAATCACCAGGTCCTGAGAAGCCTCCGATACCGAGGGAAGAGCAGCGAGGAGCCAGAGGGGCTTTTGCAGGAGCTGAGCCACCACATGATGCTGTGCCTGGAGAGCTGCAGAGTGTTCTGTGGGAGGCAGGACTTACTGGATAATATTCTGCAAAGCATCAGACAGAATGATGATCATGTCCACACACCCCTCATTCTCTATGGGCCTCCAGGCTGTGGAAAGACAGCCCTGATGTGCAAATTGTCTGAGCAGGTGCGAACTCTTCTAGGGCAGGAAACTGTGGTGGTAATTCGCCAGCTGGGGACATCCCAGGTCAGCTCTGCAATCCACAGCCTGCTGAGAGATATTTGTTCCCAGGTGTGTTTAGCATTCGGTTTGCCACCTCTTCCTGTACAGGTAACACAGGCTTGCAGTGATTTAATCCTGTTCTTCCATAACCTCCTCCTCACTGTCTCTCACCTTGGTGTACAGTCACTGGTGCTGTTCTTTGACTCTGTGGACCAGCTAATCCCTGCTAATGGTGCCCACAGACTCTACTGGCTGCCTAAAGACTGCCCCCCAAAGGTTCACATTGTTGTCTCCAATTCCACAGCAGAGCATGGGATTCTGGAAACTCTCCAAGAGGCCATGCCTGAGCCTGAGGCCTACTTTGAAGTGGGTCCATTATCCAGAGAGGAAGGTGGGAAGATGTTGGAGGTGCTGTTGGCATCAGTGAAACGGAAGCTGAGCCCAGCTCAGCAGACTGTTCTCCAGAACAGTTTCCCTGAGGGTGGGCACCCGCTGCTATTCAAGCTGGCCTTCAATGAGGCCAGGAGATGGGCATCCTACACTCAGCCTTCAGCACTGATGATTGTTACCACAGTCCAAGAGGCCATGCACCGTCTGTGCGCGAGACTGGAAAAGCTGCACGGCATGGTCCTGGTGGCACACATGCTGGGGTATATTGCCTCCTCACGGTAAGTGCTGCCATATACCCTTTTGGAGCATCCTGCACCATCCAACTGCTCCTTTTGCCTGGGTGAATCTCAATGGCTAAACACAGTTCCAGGCAACAGCAGCTCTTGGCTTCTCCAATCTGTGAATGTCTTTACATGAGCATAAACACAAGCTTCTTTCTCTTACCTGCCATGCTGCCTAGTCTGGCCTATGGTAATTGGTCTCCTGTGCTCCTCCTGGATTTGAGCTCTTAGCTAAGACTGCCTACTGGAGATTGGGGTGGGTGAACAGGTTGCGCATGTCTTTCTTGCCCAGAGCTGGAATCCCTCTGAACAGCAGCTAGGTGGGTTTCCTGGTGGTTTGGGGCCAGCTGGGGGGGGGAGGGGAGGAGAGAGAGAGAGAGAGAGAGAGAGAGAGTGTGTGTGTGTGTGTGTGTTGTATATATATATATCTATATATATATATATATCTATATATATATATATAAAAGGAGTAAAGATACTGCTCACTCTCCCACTTTGGAGGCCAATGCATACTGTTGGGGGGGAGAGGACTAATCTCCCCGACTCTGTCATTTCCCAAATCAGGAATGGGCTATCAGACGCAGAGCTGAAGGACATCTTGTCCCTCGATGATGAGGTTCTCGCTGAGATTTACCAGCACTGCTCTCCTCCATGTAAAACCATCCTGCGCTTTCCTCCTCTGCTGTGGGCACGACTGCGCTGTGACATTGGAGAGTGCTTGGCAGAGAGGCAGGCAGACGGCTTTGCGCTTCTTGGCCTTGCTCACAGGTACAGCAGGGACACAGGATGAGGAGGCATAAACTCCTGTGTGGGGGATGTCCCAGTGCTGGCTGTGTGGGGATCCTGCTTAGGCTCCCTGTCTCAGCCCTGCTGTCCATTCCCATCAGTGTTGATTGGTGATGATCCCATTCTCTGGATCCCCATCTCAGTGATAATCCCATTCTCTGGATCCCCATCTCAGTGTCTCTGCTATTTCTTTCCTCTCCCAGACAGTTTACTGAAGTGGTGCAGAATCGTTATCTACCAGCCCAAGACAAAACCAAGCGTCACTTGCTCCTAGCAGATTTCTTCAGGGGGACTTGGAGTTGGGGCATGAAGAAGTCCCTGAAACTGCCACTTCTTGGCAAATCTCTGAATGCTGACAGGAAGGTGAGGCACCTCAGCAACCATTCTTGGTACTCGCAGGCTCTGGACCAAGAGGCCTGGGCCCTCACACTGCAGGGCAGGGGGTGGTATCAGAGGCATTGGGAATTAGGGCAGATTGTTTCTGGGTGGCTTTTGTTTTATCTACACTACTTTGTCCATCACTGGTAACCACACTTGATAGGGAATTGGCCTGTATCAGCTTGCCTGCTGGCTCTGCTGTGCCCCTGGTGCAATATTGCTGCAGGTAGCGTATCCCTCAGGCTGTGGCCTGGAAGGGCTAGATGTCACACCATGAATTGAAATCCAAATACTACAGCACAGGAGGCATTAGTGAAATTAATTCATTACCTGTATCTCGCCTGAGTTCTCCTTGATCACCTCCTGTTTCTCCCTTTACCAGGTAGCACCTCAGCCACTCTGGTTCTCTGATACCGTTGCAAATCGGAGGAAGCTAAGCGAACTGCCTTTTCACTTACTCAATGCTGGGAGAATTGAGGAGCTAAAGCAAGATGTGCTGGGTAAGGGCTGGGGACAATGTTCAACAGGGAACATGCTTCATTCCTGCAGCTGCATGCCAGGGAGATGCAGAATCACAATTCATGTAACATTTCTATATTGAAAGCACTGGGAGCTGCCAAACTGAGCATCAATAGCCAAACTGAGAAGGAAACCTGTGAAAGAGAAAAATACATTATCCTCACAAACTGTTACCCCAGACACTTCAGAGTCCTCATCATCCACACTCCAGTCACTGAGAGAAATAAAAATCCATGCCCTCACTCTTCCCAAGGCTTAGGAGGAGGCATTTTAAAACAGTACATTAAAAAAGTATTCACATACTCAAAAAGAGGCTAAAAAAGGAACCACAACAATGACAGCCCCCATTCTCCCTGGAGAGTGGCCTCAGACCCTCTCCAGGAGTGGCCTTCCCCTTCATCACCAGGCGCATGACTGCCAGTGCTCTGGACTGCATGGTTCCACCTTGTGTCCAATGTTCTCTGCTCTGATGGTCAGTACTCTTTTCTGCAGGGAATATGAACTGGATCACCTGTAAAATTGTTGCCACTGGAATTCAGGGCATTGCCAATGACTTTGCCATGTGCAATGAGCATATTAACTGCCCAGAGCTACGCCTTATACAAGAAACTCTTCTCCTTTTGAAACCAGCACTTGACTATATAGATGGTGTTGTAGGTAAGAGCCACTTCTAGTCCATGTTTGAACTGCAGTTGGGCATGGGCAGATCCGTTCTGGGGAAGTTGGAATATTTGCTCCCTAGAGGAAGTTTCTTCTTGGGCAATTACAACTAAAGATGAAATCCTTCCTTAGGTATCTCCGGACCTCTGGGGAGGAACCCGCAATTTTCTTTTTGGAAAGTTGTTAGCTTTCGCCAACAGGCATCTTGTTTATTAGATCAGAGCAGTTCACCTGAATCCAGAGGGTCCTTCCCTTCACTATCAGCATCTACTAGCCACCTGAAACCCCTGGCAGCGTTACCATTAATTAAAGGGATAGATTCACAATTCCCCCCCCCCCAATGAAAATTCTCCAATACACAGTTAAATCTATCCAAGTTTTTATACTGCACCCATCCCTGCAGTATCTGAGTACCTAGCCAGGGAAGGGCAAACTCACACCTGCTCATTATAAACTGGTAGTCTATGCACTGTATTCCATATTGAATAATTGCAATGGCCTCTCACAGTCATATGCTAGGAGCCCTTTTAAAATTCCTTTTGCCTTTTCCCTCTTAGGAGTGAGTATTATATACACGGAGGTGCTGGCCAGGCTGCATTTTTTCATGTTTTCCTATCCTGATCTAATTGGAAGGCTGTGCCAGCAGTGTCTGAGCTGGCTCAATGTCTGTCCCCATCCTGTTCTTGTCCCGCTGTGTGGATTTCTCCAGCCACCTGGTGGGCCTCTTAAGATGACTATCACTGGATTTCTAAAAGGTAAGGCCTTTTCTCAGGGCATGAAGATTCCTCAAGGGAGCTGACGGAAACGGGTCACCTTATACATGTGAGGAGATGGCACTATCTGTCAGTTCTCCCTGCTCTCTTTGTCCCACAGCATCTCTGACATTTGCTATTTGGTGCTTGGGAAATGCAGTGGGATTTCCATGGGCCTCCTAGGGAATTTCAGATAGTTGGGTTACTTTATCGATTGGTGATTCTCTGTGACCCAGCTGGCAGGATGGTGCATATTACTAACACCAGGGCATACAAAGGGAGCCTGGAAGGTGTTGCAAGCAACTCTGACTGGCATTAAAGTTCAGACTAGCCTGTAACGAGAACAACTAATGTTGGGTGTCTGGTCTCTGACCTGTTTCTGAGTGTGGGGATCAGGAGGGGCCTCATTCCCCAGGTAGGGGACTAACAGTGTTGTAAATATTGGATATTGTGCCTCCCTCTATAGGCAGAGATGACTATTGCACTACATAGGGCACTCATCCAAGGTCTCCTTTGCAGGACATCCCAGAATGTTTATGATACTGTGAGGCTTACTCATATTTGGTTTAATTGTTTCTAGTTATTAATCTCACTTAGTGATTTCTGAATAATTGGCACAGTGCAGTAATGCACCAGCTCACGACAGTCTTGGAGGTGTATTAACCTAGGCACAAAATCTACTCACTCATCCCTTACCAAGATGAAGATGATAAAGCTCATTATAGTTTGCTTGCCTGATTACTCTTGGGGGAAATTCTGAGGGAATTAAAGAAAAGAACTAGATAAGTTCACGGAGGATAGGTCCATCAATGGCTATTAGCCAGGATGGGCACGGATGGAGTCCCTAGCCTCTGTTTACCAGAAGCTGGGAATGAGTGACAGGGGATGGATCACTTGATGATTACCAGGTCTGTTCATTCCCTCTGGAGCACCTGATATTGGCCACTGTCAGAAGACAGGATACTGCGCTAGATGGACCTTTAGTCTGACCCAGTATGGCCGTTCTTATGCAGAATTTTACAGAAATTAATGTTGTGTGCGCAGAATTTCCTTTCCCCCACAGAAATGGGCTGCTGGCCGCCACTAGGAGGCACTGGACCCAGCAGAGCCCAGCTAGCACACAGAAGACATTGCATTGGGGCAGAGTGGGGCAGGGAAGGGAGCTAAAGGGTTCCTGACAGCTGAAGTTCCCAGCACGCCTTGAGGGAAGGAGAGGGCAGTGCACAGGAAACTTCATGCAAGCCTGGGACAGAGCATTAGGCTCTTTCTCCCACTGGATCCCTGGGCTCTGGGGAGGAGGGAGGCAGGTGTCTGGGCTGGGGGAGCCAAGGCTGGGCTCTGGGGGAAAGTGGAGCAGATATCTAGGCAAGGGGGGGGGCCCTGCAGCTGGGCTCCGGGGGGCGGAGGTGTGGGTGTCTGGGCTAGGGGGAACCCGTGGCTGGGCTGGGAGTGGAGGGGGTTTGGCTGTATTGGCTGGGAGGGGGGCATGCAGCTGGGCTCTGGTGGGAAAGGGTTGTGGGTATCGCCCTCTGCCCCCCCAGCTGGGCTCTGGGGTGGGGAAGAGGGCAGAGAAACAGGAACTGGCAACTGGGTTGTCATAGTGGTTTGAGCAGGAGGTTGGACTAGATGACCTCCTGAGGTCTCTTCCAACCCTAATCGTCTATGATCCTATGATTAACTCTACTCCTGAGGGAATTTTTGTGTGTGTCTGTATTGTTACAGACATACTTGCTGACAGGTATTTTGAAATAAATTACAAAAATAATCGAAACTGGTGATTATGTAGTGTTATTTTGACAAATAACGTTTGCAGAATTTTGCAATATTATGTGCAGAATTTTGCAATATTTTGGCGCAGAATGCTCCCTGGAGTACCCAATAAAGAAAATGAATGTCCCTGTAGAAGTAGAATTTTGCTAGGCTGCATTTAGGTATATATTATGGGATGGGACAGTTTCTGTATTTCCTCTGCCTGTAACACAAAGGAATTGTAAGGGTCCATCTGCTGATTTAACCTTGCATGCTGAATTTAGTACCGGTTATGTTTTTGACTGCTTTTACTGCACCAAGGGAGAGATGCCACTCAACGGTATTCACAATATAAACAAACACAGATCCACAAATGTCTGAGGGAACCTAATCTAGTTTGGCTGGTCTCTTGTCACATAACTCACACAAGGTCAGTAAGAAACTTGCTGCTATCACAGGTGGGAAAGGATACATAAGAACATAAGAACAGTCATGATGGATCAGACCAAAGGTCCATCTAGCCCATGATCCTGTCTTCCGACAGTGGCCAATGCCAGATGCCTCAGAGGGAATGAACAGAACAGGTAATCATCAAGTGATCCATCCCCTGTCACCCATTCCCAGCTTCTGGCAAACAGAGGCTAGGGACACCATCCCTGTCCATCTTGGCAAATAGCCATTGATGGACCTCTCTTCCATGAACTTATCTAGTTCTCTAGTTGTATCCTCTCTGCCTGCTGTGTCTGCAGACTCCCCTTCCATCTATGTCTAATTACAGGTGTGACAGTGCTGGAGCTCAGTTCTGATCACAGGGTGCTGGTGGCAGGATCCCAGGATGGCACAATGGTTGTGTGGATCATGGAGGATATTGAGGTGATGCACACCTTGACTGGGCACTCTGGTGAGCCTTTTAAAGGGGGCATGGTTCCTGACTTCCGCTTATACTATACCAGGGGTCCTCAAACTTCATTGTACTGCAACCCCCTTCTGACAACAAAAATTATGACATGACCCCAGGAGGGGGGACCAAAGCCTGAGCCTGTCCAAGCTCTGCCACTCCGGGTGAGGTGGAGGGTCAAAGCCAAAGCCTGAGCCCCAGTGGCTGGGCAGGGGGGCCAAAGCCGAAGCCAAAGGGCTTCAGCCCCAGGCAGGGTGCGTGTATCTTGAGCCCTAACCCCCAGGGCGGAAGCCCTCAGGCTTTGGCTTTGGCCCGGGGTGGTGGAGCTCAGGCTTCGGACCTGGGCCCCAGCAAGTCCAAACCAGCCCTGGTGACCCCATTAAAATGGGGTTCCGACCCACTTTGGGGTCCCAAGTTCCCTCTAAGCTGCGCGGCTGCACAGCTGCCTATTAAGCCCCGTGCAGGGGCTCAGGGCTGCGGTGGGGAGAGGCACCCCTCCCCGCCAGCCCCAGCATGGACCTGCCCCGGATTTGCCACAGCCGGGGAAGAGGAGCCCCTCCCTTGGCCCAGCCCAGCCGGAGCTGCCGCAGCTGGGGAGAGGCGCCTCTCCCCCGGCCCCGAGCTGCTGCTGTGAGAGATGGCTGGGGGGGAGTCCTCTCCCCCCACCGCAGCCCCGGGGCAGCCTGCACCCCAAACCCCTCATCCCTGGCCCCACCCCAGAGCCCACATCTCCCCAACCCTCTTCCCCATCCCTGAGCCCCCCCCCGCACCCCAAACCCTTCATCCCCAGCCCCACCACAAAGCCTGCAACCCCAGCCAGAGCCCTCATCCCCCCACACGACAACCCTCTGCCCCAGCCCTGTGCCCCCTAACACACTCCAAACCCCTCGGCCCCACCCCCATCACATGAATTTTGTTATGTGTCACACATCACCTCCATATTGGTGCACATAATAAAATTAATTCCACACATGGACGTAAAAAATAAGAGGGAACACTGGTCCCGACCAACAGTTTGAGAACCGCTGTACTATACAGAAAGCTTCTGTGTGGTGGCAACATCCAGACCTCAAAGCTGAAGGCTGCACCAACCGTATTTTACGGCCAAACTGTCCTATTCCATGCAGCATCCCTTAAACAGATCAAGTGATTGCCCAAAATTAAAAGAGATTTTAGAATGTGGTAACTGAGAGACATTTAATGGATTAAAACTGCCCCCTCTAATGTTGCTGTAGAATGCAATTAACTCCCTCATTGACCCTCATTGGAGAATTTTTCTCACGGCCTTACAAGGCATTGACTGTTTGCATCTACGATATGCATCCGAAGAAGTGGGCTGTAGCCCACGAAAGCTTATGCTCTAATAAATTTGTTAGTCTCTAAGGTGCCACAAGTACTCCTGTTCTGTTTGCATCTAGTCATTCCTGAGCTGTAAGCACAGCAGGCGTTTCACAGCTGATGGTAATCTGGGCACTCTTCCAATTGCTAGAAGTGGAGAGGGTCCCCCGTTTTGCAAATGCTTCTCTCTGCTGTTTTGTAGCTGAGGTGAGATGTGTGAAAGTGTTTGGAAAAGGGACTTCCGCTGTCTCAGCTGCCATGGATTACACTCTACGCATCTGGAATTTAGTCTCTGGCAGACAGAAGTTTTCCATTCAGGACAGTCACTTTGGAGAGCAGCATCTATATCAGCTTCATGTGGATGAAAGGAACAGGATTGTATATTCAGCATCAGGTGCAAAGGTATGGAACTAGAGGCCACTCCATAATGTAAAGTGCACAGAGAAGACAAGAGTCTGAGCAGAAACCACAAGAAGTTACAATCAGGGAATCATGGAGCATAGAGATGGAAACAGGGGTGCTAGAACTAGGGGTGCCGAGGTGTGGCAGCACCCCTGGCTTTAAATGGTTTCCATCATATACAGGGTTTACAGCTTTGTTCCATGACTTTCAGCACCCCCACTATAAAAATTATTCCAACACCACTGGATGGAAAAGCCTACTGGGTCCTATCCAGTCCAAACTCCTGGGGCCAGTGCAGAATATCCCAGGTGGACATTTGCTAGTGCTTTGTCCAGTCTACTTTTCAAAGTCCTAAATGATGGGGCTCCCATGCCTTCCCTTCCACTGGCTAGCACAGTGAATCCCGTCTTCAGCAACCATTCAAGGAACTGAAGAAAAAAATTGGTTGTTTGGAGCTTGGATAAAATGCAAGGCCTGATCTACATTTTAGAATTAGCTCAACCTAGCTATGTCACACAGGGATCTGAAAAATTTCATGCCCTGAGTGTCATGGTTAGGTCAACCTAACTCCCAGTGTAACTGCAGCTAGTTCAACAGAAGATTCTCATACTGATTCAAACTGGGTTTTGTAGAAACCAACAGACAAAGAAAGGGCTTTTGATATAAAAAGGCTAAGTTTAAACTAACTCTGGGCCTTCTATCTAATCCAGCAAGTGGACAGGACCTTCTGTCCAAAGGGGGGGATGGGGACAACCCTTGCAGAAGGATTAGAAGGACTTTGACCTACTAGAGCCCCATAAAACTGACGGGTGACTGCTGGTAAGCTTTTAGAATGCATATAAGAACTTTTATTGTTTTTGTTTTCTTTGTAATGCTTTCACCTTAAGAATAAATGTGCTTGCTTAGAAAGAGCCATGTGGTAACTTGTAACTGCTGGCAATGCACTGTTCATAGCCCTTAGAGAGAAAACAAACTACAGGCACTGGCCTTTAGGTAGACTGGGATACTAGGCATATCAAAGTGTAAGGCAGGAAGCTATACATCCTTAAAAAAAACCAGTCCGAAGGCTACACAGAGACAGGTGATACCAGGAGACCTGGCTGTGACCACAGAGGGGGGACACAGGTGCAGTTACTCCAAGACTATGATAGCAACAACCATGTGGAAGTTCTTCCAAGGAATCATGCTGGTTTTGTAAAATATTTTGAGATCCCTGGAGTGTGAAATTTGGGAAGTTAAGTCAGCATCTAAACTCCAGAATCAATATATGTACAAATGCTGCACAAAAAGATCTCCGGCGAAGGTGACCTGCCAATCCTTCTTTTTACTAGGTTAATGCCTGGCACCTGGAAACAGGGGAACATATTTTCCAGATTTCTGGTGAGGCCCCAGATGCGTGGCTATGCACTGAAGTGTTTGAACCAAGGCAGGTGGTTATGACTATGTCTGAAGGAGGAACACTGAGTCTGTGGGACAGCAGCACGGGAGAGCTCCAGTCTAAGCGCCAGCTATCAGGGCTACAGGAAGAAGCACCAACTTGCAGCATTCTGATCCAGAAGCAAGGAAAGATGATAGTAGGATTTAGCAGGGGTTCCCTCTCCATGGTGCGTCTCTCTGCTTAGCTAGCTATAACATTTCAGAGATTTAATCTACGAAATGCTGGCTTTGTGGGGATACTGGATTCTCTCTTCTCAGTTTCACTTCGCTCTGTGCTGATGCCTGCATCTTTGATAGGCCTTTGTCGTCATAGATTCCTTGATAGGTTTTCACACTTCCATGGTTTCTAGGAGTTTCTAAGACAGCCAATTTGACATGCTCTAGCATGATGTCCTTTGTGCACTTGCTCACCCATCAGCAGCAATGTGATTGCAAGATCCAAGTGCTGTAAAGCTGGGTTCTGTTCCTAACTCTGCCACAAACTTGCTATGTGATTGAGCAAATAATTTCCCCTTTCTGTGCTTCAATTTGGCCATGTGTAATATGAAGATAATGCACCTCACTGGGGTGTTTTCTGTTCATAAAGCACATTGAGCTCCTTGGATAGACGGTGCTAGACAAGGGTAGAATATTATTAGCAATAGAAGGGTGCACGGGAGGAGAAAGACTTTGCACCAAGGTCTCCCTGGTAAACTGTCCCCTAAGGTCCAGTGAAATGAGCCAAAGTACAGTTCCAGGCATCATCCAGCCTTGTGCTGAGCTAGGTAATAGGGTGGGTCTCCAAAGGACTTTCCTCTCCTCATGATGACGAAAGCATGCTCCCTATACCTGCAGACCTCGTGCTGTGTAAACGAGTACACATGGGAGCTGCACAGCATTAAGAGGCCAAACTAAACTATATTCCCCTTAGTTTCTATCCTCCTTTCGTCTTCCCTCTAACCTGAGAGAGGCAGCTTAACTACCACAGTGCTGTCTGACTGTACCTTCTCTTTCGGCAGATCTTCTCTGATGGAAACAGCTTAATGAAGAAACTTCCTGGAAGGGTTCGCTTTCTGGTAGTGTCAGAAGATGAGTCCCTTCTTGCTGCAGGTTTAACTCCAGCCCAATTACCTGGGAAAGATTTCAGCAGATTTATAAAAGATGATGGCAGTAGTCTCTCTAAGTGTCATACACCAAGTGTCCCTTAAACAGGGGCCAAGATGGGGGTCTTTCCCTTTATTAACATGTTCTTATCAATCTAATATGCTCAAAGGGCTGGAAAGCAATGGGGTGAAATTCATCCTGTGCAGAGAGCTAGCACATGGTCTATGCACCACATAAGTCCTATAATGAGAAAGTAAGTGGGACTTACGTGATGCATAGGACTTGTGCTGGGCCTCTGCCCGGGGGGAATTTCAGCCCCTTGGTTTCTGAGCAGTTCTCAACGTACAACTTTACTAGCATGCTGGGACCAACAGATTAGGAACATGGATGGAGGAGATATGTAACATTTTAGAGCCTCTGAATGCACAGTGGGTGGGTCTGGCCTTGTCTGCACTATATCAGCCCAAGTGCTTTCAAGAGCTCCTCCCCAGATCAGTAAATCAGAAACTAACATTCCGTTGTTTTAGGCTTTGGGGTGTATGTGCGAGTGTTCCTGGCCAACTCAAAGGGATTCCACAGGTTCATGGCAGCAGACCTGGAACATGAGTGTGTGGTGCACTCAGCTGTTTTCTCTCCTGACAACAGCATCATTGTCACAGGCTCTCAGGGTGAATCTATCCAGGTAAGAGGGGAAGCTTTCCCGTCAGAAATGCCTCCAGCAGGCCCAGCTCACATTTGCGTGCCAGATCTAGTAAGGTGCTGAGCAGGGTCCCTAACCACCTGCCTTGTGGATGCATTTGTGGTGTTTCTGTTATTGTCCCATCTGAATGTCTTTCTCTTATCTCTTTCCTAGTTCTAGTAGTGTGTGGCTCTCACTCTGCTCTCCTGTTAATTCTTTTTCTGGCACTGAACAGTGAGTCACGGTACTATATAAATTCAGAGAGAGAAAGGCCAGGGAGAGCTTATAACCAGAGTATTAAGGGATATTATTTTAAAATAATTAAAATTCCAAGACATCAGAAACTGCCCTCTCCTCCAACAGTGAGAGTGAAGCAGCCCAAAGGGAATAGTCTGTACCTGAGACACCCAATTGAGGTCAGCAGGATCTCATGGGGTGTCATTCAGAGCAGAGATATCAGATAGGCAGAACAGCTCAAGGTCTTTCATAAAAGTTTATTTAAGAGAAGGTTTGTGTGTTTATTAACTGAACAGAAATGCTTCTAAGACATTGTCACTTTTGGAACATTTCCCATCTCTCTTTACTCTGTGTATGACACACTTGATTTCTCTTCTTTGTTTCTTGTTTTATGAGACTGTTTCTTGTATCGTTACTTTGATTTTATAAAATTTTACTGTGATTGTTCTACTCCTCTCTGAGTAGGGTATGGGAGAGAGGAAAATTTATATATTTAATGATTTTGTGTTTTCTTACTATTTTGACTGAATGCCACTATGTTTTTTCTAATTCCCAGGTGTGGAGCTTATCAGAGCAGGGTTTGCTGACAGACACTTTAGATGGCATGGGAACACCAGTGACTCTTTTAGCCCTTTGTGGCCACACATTGGTATCTGCCTCCCATAGTGCACCATATCTCAAAGTTTGGGACCTCACTTATGATCGTAAGCACAAAAACTTAGCACCAGTCCCAGATCGCACAGGGTGCACTGCAATGTCCCATGATGGGAACTATGTCTACTTCCCTCAAGCCGGAGAGAGACATCAAGTCATCATCTGGGACTCCACTAAAGGTGAACGACAATCTATAAAACACTGTAGAGAATTAAAACTTGGCGTAGCATGGGAATCAAAATGATTCCAAAAAATGAATAATTGATCTGACAGAGCCAGGTTTTTTTGGTCTTCCAGGCATGCTGCAAGGACTCTCTGTTCCTTCACACTGTGTCAGAAGGGATGGGTTGAGCAGAGAGGGACTGTAAATTTAGGAATTATTTTAATCTCTTTTCTTTGACATTTTTGTCTAGATCATTATCATGACATATGGGAAAAACCCAAAGGACTAGAGCTGGAGCAGGGAGAACCTCACAGACATCTCTTCTCTGTTGCAGGTGCAGAGTGTGACACACTGGACACCTCTGCCCAAGTGAGATGTCTAGAGGTGGCTGAGCAGAGGAAGCTCCTTTTCACTGGGCTGGTGTCTGGAACGGTCCTTGTGTTTCCACTTAATTCCAGGCAGGATGTGGTGTGCATCCCACCCCCAAAGTCACAGAAACCAATCAACCACATGGCACTCAACAGGCAGGAAGAGCAGCTAGCCATAGCATATGACGACTTAGTTCTTGTGCTGGATGTTAGCCCTGGAAAGCCATGTCCTGTGATTGACAAACCCATTTATACCTTTTATACTCAAATCCCTGCTGCTGTGATTTCCAGTGTGGCTGTCCTTGCAAACTACCGAGTCCTCTATGGCATGTCAAGTGGGGACTTGTTCCTTTACGACTGCCCACATTCCAAAGTGTTTCCTTTGGAAATGCACAGATGCATAGTCACCTGTTTAGAAACCAGCCATGGAGAGCAGTGGGCACTAAGTGGCTCTGAAGATTCTCTGCAGTGTCTCTGGGACTTGGAGCTCTGCCAGTGGGAACATGAAATGTGCTACTATAAGGTACTGCCCTGGTGGGTGGAGACAGGGACACAACATTGTGAGGCACTTATTTCAATGAGCTAATAATGCATCTGAAAAGCCAAAACAGTAGAAAAACTAGTCCATAGGAAGCCAAATTTTCATACAGGAGGACATCTAAATCCTGTATCTGGCAGCTAGGTACCCGTTTTATGCCCTGAAGTGCTGATTTGTACATATCCAGGATTTTGATGCCCTATTCAGAGACACTCTCAGTGCACAGTCACCATGAGCTAATGCATTTAACATCTCTCTGGCCCAGAGCCTGATGAGCACACTCAATTATTTGGCATCAGCTGGAGGACTGGCATGTAAAGAGGGCAGGATTTTACTCAGTGAATAAGCAAAAGCAACACAGAGTGAACAGGCCAGGAACAGTGGAGGCAAGTAAAGAAAAAAAGTGAGAGAAGAGTTTGAGTTGATATTTTTAGCCTTTCACCTGCACCTGATAGACCTCAGACTTCACCTGATGATGTACTGTGGAATCAGACTGTATCCAATCCCTGTCACTTGTAGATTAATTAGGTTCCTGAGAGATCACAGTGGATCTCTTCTTTTCTGCACAGCTGTAGATTGTTTTACAAGCAAAAGACTTTGTATTGTGGCATTTCGTGCCTCTATCAGGACCACTCTGCCTTATGGTGGAAATCCTGGTTTAATAAGATTTTTATCCCCATTCTCACAACTGCTGAGTAGCCACTAAATTGTATAGGGCTTCCTAATCTCAACCTGCATTTAACAAGATATTTATGGTCTAATTCAAACCTTTATCCATTTTTAGCAGACTTCCTTCTTGAAAGGTATTCAGTGCGCTTGCTTCTCGAAAGATGATAAGTACGTGTACACTGGGTCATTCGATCACTCCATTACAGTTTGGGATGTTTTAAGTGGTGAGTAGTTCTGGATTTATAGCAAATATAAGGCAGGTGGTATTAAACAGAGATCCAATGGCCTTGATGTGGTGCAAAGGGAAACAGTTTTCACTTAGCAGTTTGGGTGAGAGACTTCCTTGACTGCATGTTTGAACAGAAAACTTGGGATACGTCTCCTGGCCAAAGACAGTTAATTGACAGGCACAGATGGATACAAGGGGTTACAGCTATGTGTGGAGGAACACTGACACCTTCCCCCCCACAATGGCCTGACCTGATACCTCTATCTTTTGTGACATCACAATAGGATGTACCATCTCAGAGACCAAACAGTGCTTCTTTTGGGAGTGATATTGATACATTGACCAGCCACCATTATTTGTGGCTATAGTTCCCTTCTCAGATGTACAGAGGTGATTAGGGCACTGCCTCTTAGAAAGAAGAGAAAGACCTTTGACCTCCTCATACAAGTTATCCACATGAGTCCATCTTTAGAAGTATCCCCAAGGTCTAGGACCCAGGAGTAAAAAAGCACCACTCAGCATAAGGAAGAAATGGGGGGGGGTTCTTTTTCCTTGCCACATCTCTGTATTAGATGCTATTTTGTGTGATCACACTCAGTTCAGCCCATTTTGCATAATCACGGTGACCGTCCTGTCCTAGATGACTGTATGACTTGTCATTCTTTCCCAAAGGATATGGCTAATCTGACCAGGGGGATTCCAGCAAAAGGGTTGCACAACTGTGTGTTTTGCACCTCTGGTAGCAGATTTACTGCTTTTTGGTATCTAAGTTGATTGTAAGCTTACACCGTGGTAATAAGAAAATGCTTCCTGGGCAGGAGCCCAGTGGCCCTTTGAGAGATTTTCTATCTCCTTACACACGAAGTGTGTTCTACCTATTCCTCTTGCACACAGTGAAGTCAAAGCATTTGGTCCTGATCAGTTGCAAGTGTTATGGCAGTGTTATATGGCCTTTACAGGCTTCCCTCACCAAAACCATCAATATAGTCAACGGGGAGCTAATGACATTACTGATACAAAATTATTATTAATATTATTATTAACATGAACATCAGTGACTTATTTTTCTTGAGTCCAAATTGTCCTTCTAAATGGTTCTCATTTATGGAAAATGACAAGCCCTTTTCCCATGCTTCAGGGGAATATACTAAGCTGCAAGTTCTTTTGTCTGTTCTGACCTTAGTTTCTCCCTTTTGCCTTCTGGGGGGTCTTCTGCAGGTGCCCTGTTGGCTGTTCAATTTGTGTATGCAACTGCTAACAGAATCATGCCAACTGCAGATGGGTTTGTTGCAACAACAAGACTCGGCTACATAATTCGTGAGAGGTTCCGCTGCCCACAATCCATAAACTCGCAGTACAATCCACTCCAGAACATCAAGGCAACATGTGTAGTAAAATCCAGAAAGAAAGAGGAGGCAAACCCAAGAGAGCAACATGACAGAGGAAAAGTCTCCAGAAACCAGATTCGAACCAATAAACTCTCTCAAAAC